ATCCTATTTTTTATTGATGATTTGTGAGTTATGAGATTGCTTGTTACCTACATATGGTGACTGTTTATATTATATTATATGTGCTGATAAAATTATTCAGCACTATAACCCCTCCCCATACTAATTATGTATATTCATATCTTTATTTTTTATTTATTTGTTTTAGAAAGTAAATTAATTTATGGAATAATTGATGAAAGTTGTGTGTTATTATTAACTATCAATATTTGTTATTGGAATTGGGAATGTTAGATGACTATTAAGACTCATCAATACATCAAAACAATTATTTTTAATATGGAATATCTAAAATTTCTAAGACTAATCAATACATCAAAACTGTTATTTTTAATATGGAATATCTAAAATTTCTAATTTTTTTTTTTTAATGTATACATTTTTTTTGTTTTCTCAAAATTTAAATAAATAATCATTAAAAAAATATATATGTAAGGCAAAAATATTTTAACGAATTTATTATAGTCTTCTTATAGATTGGGCCTACCCACACCAATAAAACCCAGCATTCAAATTTTTGTGCTCATGAATAACGGCCCAATACATACAATTTATTCATTTATATTTATTTTTAATAGAAATAAATTATTTATTTTTTTATAAAACATTTGTATTCAAGTCATTATTCAATTTAAAATTCAAACTAAAAATACAAAATCAAACAAAAATGTTTTGTGATTAGTCAATGATACTTTCTTGGAGGCGGACGGAGGGAACACAAAGGTGTGTTTATTTTGTGAGATAATTGTAAAAAAAAAATTATATGAAATACAGATAATTGTATATGAAATATAAAAATAATAAATATTTGTAATATGTTAATTTTTTTTTTGAAAAAATGTGTAGAGAAAAAATATAGTAAGAACAAACCCATAGATTAATATAATAATTCAGCAATGTAACGACAATTATGAGTTACATATTCCTTCCGTTTTACATATAGTGAAATATTTAATACTCTCTCGTTCATTTATCTATTTATCCGTTTGTTTTTCATACAAAATTTTAAAAATATTAGTATTATATTAAAATATGGTATGAATAAAGTAAAAAAGACTGAAATAAACCTTATGAATATTGTATGATATAAAAGTAATAACATTTGCGCAATATATTGTAAGTTGTAAGACTATTTTTAATGTTAGTAGAAAGTACCGTTACTAAAAAAAAAAAAAAATGAAATGAATATTTTGTTACAGGAAATACCAAAATAAAAAAATGGTAAATTGTTAAGGGAATGAGAGAATATTCCATATGAAAATTTAAAGTCGGTAGTATTAAGTAGAATAAAATTGATAATTAAGTAATATGATAAGATATATAAATATATATATATATTTATTTGGAATGATAAGATGAAATAAAATATAATTAATTAATTTTTATTTTAGAAGTATTGTAAGATATGTTGAACAAATCCAAATAAAAATTATTACAAAATAGAATTTAATAAGATTTCCATTTTAAATATTATCCAATAAAATCTTCGTAATTTTTTTATTATTAATTTTTTCCAAAATTAAGTTGAAAAATTTATAAATTAAGTTAGAATTGAATTAAATTGAAAAAGCATTGACAAGACAGGATTATAAATTAAATAAATAAATAAATTATTACTATAACACATGTTTTTGGGCCATTAGAATTGATCGTGTAACGACTGAATTGGCCCACTAAAGCATCGACCAATTTCCTTTTCACTGGCGCGATACAGTCTAAAGGCATATAGTATGTTTTTATTTATTTATTTTAGTTTTAACATTAATATTTATTTTTACCAAAATATTTTAGATATATTACTATCATTTTGATAATTCTTTTGATCGTTAGTAATTTTATGAAATTATATTTTTAAATGTTACTATAATTAATAAAGAAATCTGTATGTAAATATATTTACTTTGTGATGCTTTTGTAAATTATGAGTGGAAATGAGGATGGGATTGGAGGCCACGTGATAGGGGGCCCACATTGTATAGGATAGGAAGGGGGAGGTAGTGGTCACGTGCCGCTGGACCCACCTCAGATAGATTCTGGATGCTCTCTTAATTAATTAATTAATTATTTTTATATTTTGTTTTGTAATAAACATAGGTAGATAGCTTAGGTAGGTAGGCAGGTAGATAGCTAGCTAGCTACGGTTAACAGGCTTCACTTCATCCTCTCGTCTAAATTTTGCATGTATGCCTTCTCATCAATTATTACCGTTTAAATTTACCATACAAATATTACATCCGTCCCACGTATCGTATTTGTTACACTGTAGGAATATAATTAGTAGATAATTAAAAATGTATTAGTAAAAATAATTATTCTATAATATAAATAATTATCAATTAAGATTAAGATAACTAATTAGTTTAATTAAAATTTTAAAAAAATAAAATTTAAAAATTTAAAATAGATTAAAGTGTATAATCATTTTCCAAAAAAGAAAAGTGACATGGTATGTGGGACGGACAGAAACGGTCATCCTTGCCCCCTCACGTCAATCCCACGAGCCTCTTATCCATTCTCATTGAATCACGGCGGAAAGCAACGTGGACATAGTATGTGGGACGGATGGAGTATTATTTTTTTATTGATTGATTCTCGTTTGTAAATAAATTAATGATAAATATTTTTAATAGTTGAACCTTTAGGTAAAATTATCATATTAGATAATTTGAATGATCGTTTCACTTAAAAATTAATATTTACATAATCTAATATGGTATCAAAACTGTTACAGTCTCCGAATATTTGATATCTCTTAAGTTTAAATAAATTGTCTCTATCTGCCTTATATGTCACTTGACATAGTATAGTTCAAACATTATATCGTTCCATAAGGATGACTTGGTGGTCTAGGGATTGGACTTGTGACCGTGATGTCATAATTCCATCAAATTAGCTTATTATTATTATTATTATTATTATTATTATTATTATTCATGGAATATTAGTACTATCTGTGTTTGCATGTGGTTATTGCGTGCTTATATATATAAAAATCGGTAATGAAATTAAACAGGTACATGTGTATATGACAGTTAGGAGACGTTAGTAATAAATGTATACAATCATAATATACAGTAGGGTGGTATGTTCTTAGATTTTTATTTTTATTATTTTATTTTATTTTTTCTAATTGACACCTAACAACGACCTTAGTGCCTACCTTATCGTCATCCTTTCAATGAAGCTCTGTTTTATTTATTTTTTAATGATAATAATATGTATATAATTGATCAATGTGTGGGTTGGCAGTCAACAATTTGTAGATAACCATGAATTATTATGCAATAATTTTAATTAGCTGGCAATTATCATATATATTGTGCATGTCATTAGAATATATATATATATTACTCATTAATAATTAACTAATTAATGTCTTGAACCAATTGACAAGTTAAAAATAAAAAAATAAAAAAAAAAGACATCCTCCACTAAATATGTAAATAACATTTTCTTTTTCAGAATATGAAATATCATATTACATATATATCTGTGTGTTTAGTAAAATAAATAACCATATAGAAAGAATTTTCAATCAAATATAATAGCTAAACATGCTCATAAAAAGTTACCTCTATATTTAATTTGTTGGAATGATCGAATATATATATATATTATATAGAAATTAGAAACCCATTAGCTATATATAACACTAATTTTAATACATGCTGAATCAAAAGAACAGTAACAATAATAATAAAATCAATACAATGAGTTTTTTTTTTTTTTTTTGAAGTAAATAATTGTTTAGATGTGATATGTTAAAGGAACTTGTGAGAGTGAATAATTAATACTACTACATATATTGGTCCATCCAAATGTAATTATTTACTTTTGTTATGGTATTTAATGAATATTGTATTTTAATAGTTGTTGATATGCTTGTAAAAATTATTTTGCTCGTAATGTAAAAATTATTACTCTCTCCGTCCCGGTGCAAGGTTGCTATTTACTTTTTATTACATAAATTTTTGAATTTTAGTATTATAATAGGGTGTAGTGAAAAGGACGAAAATATCTCTATTAGTATTGTGTAATATAAAAGGAATGACATTTGTATAATATAGTGTAAGTTGAAAGGGTATTTATTATGTTATATAGGCAGTACGATTACTAAATTAAGAAATGATAACCTTGTTTTGGGACGGACCAAAATAAAAAATGACAATCTTTCAATGTGACGGACCAAAATAGAAAATGACAATCTTTCAATATGACGGAGGGAATCTAACGATATTAATGTAAATAATTATATAAATTTAAAAATATCTGTAATATATAGTGGGGTCATAATGAAAAATGAATGTAAGTTTGTTTGGTTTTGATTTGAGATTGAGGCTTTGTTTTTTCTATAATTTTCTTCAATATATTCTTAAAAAAAGAATAATTAATCGCACCTATTTATTATTTTTATATTCTCTACAATTATGTATATTTTTCACATAAAAAAAATTTATTTTCTATAATTTCACAAAACAAATCCATCCTAAATATTTGACTTGAATTTTGATTTGAATAGTATTAATTTAGATAAAAGTGATGTTTTGTACATATTTTAATAAATCATAACTGATTTAAAGTAATAAATAAAATATATATTGTTTTTTATGTGTTTATAGTAAAATATGGTGAATATTATTATGCAATTTATCAAAAAAAAGATAATTATATATTTTGTGTAAATATATATCATATTTCTTATATAAATAAATAAAAAGGAGCAGAATGATATGCCATTAATTATATATATCTAATTTTGACCTTTTTATACTTAACACTTTCTTTATTTAACAGATAAACTAATTAATTAAGGCATCTTATTATGGGAATAAATAAATAAATGATAGGAGACAGTTATTACCGTTAAAACAGTCTTAAAAATTCCGAATTAAGAAATGATTAATATTTTTCTCAATTGGCCCAATCTGTACAGCTCGAATTTACTAACCACTCCCAGAAATTTCTTCATAACTACATACACATCCTGGGAATGCCAATGGCCAATAGAATCCCATTAAAAACTAAAAATAAAAATAAAAATAATAATAGTAATGAAGAAGAAGAAGTAGAAGAAGAAGAAAGACGACAAAAAAAGGCTTGTTCCGTACAACCAATTACCAATCCATCTTTCCCCCAAAAAAAAACCCAAAGGAAAAATAAGAACACACAGAAGACAAACAGTACTCATCTGAGCATCGAAGTTAGGGTTTCGAAAACGGTTTCTTCGCAGGGAATGGTGAGGCGTCCAGTTTCGTGGTGGAATCCGTACTCTTCCTCCGCCTGTCTCAGCAGCCACTGGAACTCCGGCACACTCAGCACCGAGATCGGCACGATGTATCTGGTCCGGTTCTCGCCCACATACACTGCGAAGTGCCCCTTCGGAACGTCCACCGGCGCCGCCGCCTCCTCTCCGCTCCCATTCCTCCCCAAACTCGAGCATCTCTTCACCATCTGCTTCAGCGACACTGCCTGACCTACCTTCATCGATTTCTTCATCGCCATTACTTAATTAAACCAAAAAACAAAAGATCACCTATCAATTTGATCGAAATCGAAATCGAGATTTGGATTTGATTTCGTTAATTTGAAGGAGAAATGAAGAAATTGAATCGATTTGAATGAGGTTCGCCTCAGAGTATCTGACTTCTGAAAGGGGGTTAATATATATAGAGCTGGGGTGGAATGGTGTGTGTTTGAGTGATCCTGGATTCGAGGTCCTAATACAATCTAGTCGTTGATTATTTGCGTTTTCCGATTTATGACCGTTGGATGGTTTTGGGACCTCGGGGTCTGAAGACTAGTTTGGGGTTTTGAATCTTTTGGGCTGTACGTTGAGGCAAGTGGGCCCGACCTATTTAGTGCAGTAGTCCATGTAATGGGCCCATTTTGTATCCAATTCTAATTAATATCACGCTGAAAATGAAAAATCGTCAGTAATATTATTATTTAATAAAACAAATTGTCATAATTTATTATATTGTTGACGTGATTTAAAAGATTTATTATTTTATTCTATCTTAGATTTTAAAATTATATTATTATTTAATACTCTTGATATTAAAATAAATAAATTAATTAATCTATACATTTGGATGCAAATGTTTTAAATACACATTGGATATTTGGATGCAAAATAAGATGTGTTTGCCACGGTTGTTTTAGAGTTTGCCAATATATTTTAATATATATTTTTTTCCTTAAAGATGGGATTATATATAATCTTTTATTGCTATTTCCATCATAAATAAATATATTTATAGCTTTTTATTTACTTGTATATATATTTTTCGTATTTGATATAATTATTGAAATTTAGTGTTTAGATTAATTCAATATATGATAAAATATTTTTCAATCAATCACTTAAAAATGTGTTCAAACTTTTAGTCACGAATTTTTAAAATGTGTATTTTTTATTACTTTTTTATTTTTTATAATAAAAAAAGTACAAAAAAATAGTAGCATAAATTTGTACTTTAACAAAGAAACATGAAAAAAACAAAAAAAAAAAAAAACTCAAATTTATGTGACAAATAAAGTATATATATATATATCTTAGATATGTTGTGCTAGTAATGCATATTGTATATTCTGATAATATTAATATAAAAAAATTGTTAGGAATAAACACATACTAAGTTTATATTCTAAATTCTCCAATTCAAATAAGTGGAAAAAGACCAGAAAGATTGCATGGTTGAGGCGCCACAGCCTCAGGCATAGCTTTCAGTGCATATGCAGTCTTTGTCATGTCTTCAACATCATTCTTAATCCATCCAACATCTTGTCTCTTTACTTTTGTCCTGTAATTTTCTACCCAATTACTAATTTAATACCATCTCTAAGTAATTTAATTTTCCATGTTTTGCAATTTCCAGATGCATAAGAATAAAGGTCAATTCGTTCCATTAGAAGAGGTATTGCTGATCCCATGCATCCATGTTTTAATCTGTATTTGTCACATACCCAAAAATAGATGAGTGAGATGAGAGAAGGTAAATAGTTTGGTGTTTTTTGGGTTTGTGATTCTGCTGTAACATGACATGGAATTGAAATTTCTTTAGTCCTTGTGAATCAATTTTATTTTATTTTTTTCATTAGGTAAGAAAGAATGACTTCCAAGAAACTAAAAAATAACCCCTCAACATACTATAAAAAAATACATCATGTAAAAGAGAGGGTGAACTCGTGATCTCTAACACATTTAAGTTTTACTTGTGAGTGCAGACTTTCATGTCCTAAAAAAATAATTAAAAAACACTATCTATATAAGCAAAAAAATAATTGCACAAAGAAACAAAAGATTTGTATTGTGAAAAAATCAGGGCTCATGGATTTAAGTAGAAGAAACTATAACCCGAGGTCTTGTGTTATAAAAACAGTGATAGGATTGAGTACCTTCAAAAAGATCTAAGAAAAAACATGTATGAGAAGTGTGTGTATATATATATATATATATAATTGAAGGGCATATGGTATATGGAAATGGAACACCACTCATATATATGCAATGTAAATATATACCTAATATACAAGAAAGAAATTACTTTGAATATGGGTGATCTGGCATGCATGTTCTAAGGCTCAGAATGTGATCTGGGAAAAAGCCACAGATAGAGATAGAGATAGAGATAGATAGATACACATGCATATACCTGTCTTCTCCTGTTGTTTTATTTATCTCATCACATATCTATGAATAATGTGCAGTCCTTGATAGTACAAAATTCAAAACAGTGGCTAACAACAACAACATTAATAATAATAACAATGACACTAATCTGGAGCTGGTACGGTAGCTATAGAGAGAGATAGAGATATGTACAGAGAGAGATAGAGATATGTATAGAGAGAAGGAGAGTTGTGGCCCAATCCCATGTTCCCCATATCAGATTTCAAGGAGGGAGAAGAAGGTGGTCCCTTCAAAACTGTGGTGGTGGTTCAAATTATATGAAACAAAATCCCTCCATATCTATCAATCAATATCACACCCCAAGCACAAGCACCAGATAGATATATATATATATATATATATAGAGAGAGAGAGAGAGAGAGAGAGAGATACAAACTCATGTATTGATCACTACTCTCTCACTCATTCACTGCTTTCACATAAACTCCATGTTACTACTACTACCTTAATTCCAACCACCTCAATACTCTCAATTCAAGAAGCAGTTATTATATTGAATTTCATAATTTATCACAATGCTGACAGTACATTAGAGACAATGACAAACAACGCACAACATAGTTATTAATCTCAGTACTGAAATATGTTCATAGAGCAACCCTATAAGTATGAACAATTAACACATAGTTTTAATGAATACAACAGGTCTTGTGTTCTTGTTTTTTATGTGCTGACTAGAACAAATTAGCCTTATAGTAATTTGCCTAAATTAGCATCGTAACCTCTCCCATCAATCCATCTTACCTCTTTAACTTCCTCCAACTAACTCTGCCACTGCAGAATACCCAAATATATCTATCTATCTATCTATCTTTACTTGTCTAAAAATGTTCTTACACCCAAGCAAATGCCTTTCTTTGTTTATAAATATAGATAGATAGATAGATAGATACAAATGGGGCACATATAGGTCTGTAATTGAGCAAAGCAATGGCATGGCCAGCACAAAAAATGATGATATACAACATACATATGGATGGGGATGGGCCAGTTTAGATTGAAGATAGTTGGGGCAACACAGCTCACCCAAATTAAATGTTATACCTACACAAAGAGGCCCTGTAGGAACACAGCAGCCCACCCTGGATCAGATATCATCATATTCATTACCAACTCTGATTATTTTGCAAAAATTGGAAATTCAAATACAGCAGGGTAAAGAAATGTGCCATCCCCATCCTAGTTGCATATTGGATCCCAAAAATTATACTTAGCAAGACAAGCATAAGCCATGACTAAGGATAAGCTTATTTACCTGGTTGTGGAATATCAGAATTCATCACTCCTTAACTCGAATTTTTGTACATGAACAAGTTTCTTTACTCGAGAGCTAGCCAAGCTGGGAAGGATAGAAAATAAGTTATGGCAGAGCAGTAGTTTTGTAGCTACTAGCCGCTGCTAATTGGAATCGGTGCACCTATCGAACTCCATCCCAAATCTTTCTTCAATCCTCTTTTTTTCATTAGCTCCCTCAATTGCTCGATCTCAGTCCACATACCATTCGTGGCGTACAAGTTCGACAATAGAATGTAAATCCCGACATTGGTTGGATCCAACTCAAGTGCTCTTTGAGCAGCCAGTTTTCCAAAATTGACATTTCCAGATGTGACACAAGCGCTAAGCAACGCACCCCACATGGATACTGCACAGCTTTCTTCCCCAGAATCCGGCATCTCCGCAACAAACTTGCAAGCCCTCTCGAACTTTCCAGCACGGCAAAGCAAGTCCACAACACAACTGTAATGCTCCCGGCTTGCAATCAGGCCGTAGTCGCGAATCATAGACTCAAAGTACTCCAAACCGAGATCTACTTGACCGGCGTGGCCACAAGCAGAGATGACCGTCAAAAATGCCACACCGTCCGGGGTTACCCCTTCCATAATCATGTCTCTGAACAACTTCATCACTTCAATGTAATCTCCGGCCCTTCCACACACACCTAATATCGAAGTCCACAAAATAACATCCTTTCGTCGCCCCTCCCCTCCTCCACTATATCCCACAATATTGAAAATTCTTTTGGCGCTCCCCAGCCGTCCACACTTCCCATACATTTCGATCATCAGACTCTGTAAAAACACATCGCCTTCAACATCCATCATACGGCGAATAACATTAGCATGAACCTGCTTCCCGGATTCTAAAGCACACACCCCACAACACGCACGTAGAGCAGCGGACAGAGTGAAATTGTCAGGTGTTAAACTCAACAATGGCATCCTCCTAATCAATTCAATAACATGGCTCCACATTTTGGCATCGGCATAGGCAGACATAAGCGCATTCACACAGACGGTGTTCTTCACAGGAATTTCGTCGAACACGTTGGCTGCATCATTCGTGCACAATAATTTTGCATAAAAATCCACCAAAGCACTTCCCACAAACACACTAGACAACCAGCCTGATTTCTTCACGTAGGCTTGCATCACTTTCCCAAACCAAATTCTCTTCAGACAAGAAGCTGATTTTATAGAGCTGCATAAAGAATAAGAGTCCACATACACACTGTTGCTGTGCATAAATCGGAGAGTACGGAGCGAGAAACAGTCAAATCCACGTTGAGAAAAATGAGATATAATTGAATTAAAAGGTATTGGATTTCTGAGACTCAAGCAATTCAGAAAGTTGCTTAGAATTTTGTGGCTTTTTTCGCCATCGATGCATTCAGTGTACGTGAACAGAAGCTTTGTTTGGAGGTTAGGGGAGACGAAGGACAAGCCTGATGTAACTACATGGGCATGGAACGCCTTCACTGCTCTAAGATTCTTAGTTCGAGTACAATGATTCAGTAACTGTGATATGGAATGGAAGTTCATTCCATCATGAAACTTCATCTGGAGAAGCATAGGATCATGCCTTCAACAGTGATGCCAAAAGCACAAATCTGTTTTTTCAGCACTTGCACTCAATCTGAAGTTCTTCACAGATTCGACCATGGAATGGATTCCAACACCAATATATGATTGATCGTATGAGTTTGATGTGTTGATGAACGATGCTGTGTTAATGTCCAATGTTTGCTTTTTCATTAGAATAATAATTAAGCCGCTCTTTACCTAAGCTACGTATATTTCTTTTATTTATTTATTCTTTTTTCCTAATTTCCCCTCCCATTTATTAATTATAATTGATATGTTTATTTTTATTGGACAAATATTATCTTAAATACGCATGTTTTTTATTATTTTTTAAAAAAAAATCAATAGTCAATAATTTCAAATTTTTGTCTAAATAGAACTTAAGAAATACGGTGCGTTAATTTTTATTTGAGTTTAACAACATGTGATTGTATAACATTAATATGTTACAAATATAAATTTTTGAGAATTTCATGAACAATGGAAGATTGAATATGGTTAAGTACAAGAGCCATCTAACCTTTGATGCATTTATTATTACTTGTTTAGTCATAATTCAATATATCATTTTTTTTTCAAGTAAATTAAATAATAATAACATTTTGTTAATTAATAAAAGCTTGTTAAATAAATTTTGATATTTTTGTATTTGAAAATACAAAAAAAAAAAAAAGAAAAAAAAAAGAATATACTAAAAGTATTTTGATATTCAATATGATTAATTTTATTATAATTAAAAAATGATACTTCTGAAACAGAGAAAAATAATAGAAATAATAGAAACTAAGAGAGTATCTATTTAATCGTATCTTCATCACTTGCAAAGTATATATATTTTGGATTATCAAGTAATTATTTCAAAAATAGCTCAATTTTTCTTTAAGATTCTTAATTTACCAATATCTTATTATTTTAAGTATAAAATTTATATAATGTAATTTTAATATAAAATAAATTATTAATATTTATATTTTATGTTGATTTTAATAAATTTATATATTTTACAATTAAAATAATTTTTATATATAAATTAATTATTTTAAATTTATAAAAGTAAAATTATATTATAATAAAATATTCTAATATAATCAAAAATATATTTATTTGTCTAAAATGCATAATAAATTTTTAAGAGCATATAATGAATAAACAAAAAGCTATTTCAAAACATTGGGTAAGTTAGCTTTTCAAAAATTAGCTTTTTGAGTCCAAAAAGCTATTCAAAAAGCTAATTTACCAAACACCTAAATTAGCTTTTTGAGTGATCAAACAGTTAAAAATTATTCAATAAACTAAAAGTTATTCGAAAAGCTATTTGTCAAACACCCTCATATTCTTTTACGAAGTATTAGTATAATCAATATTTCTTAAATTTTGTATTCAATACAAATAAAACTATAGTTCAAAAGGAGTACATAATTTTGACGAACCAATAGAAAATTTAAAACATCAACCAATTCAATGTATATTAGAATTTGTCTTTTTTTTTTTAAAGAAAAAAATCTCAAGAAAAAAAATTGTTATTTAATAGGCTTAATTTTTAATAAGAACATATTAATTTTTTTAATTAAAATATTATTACATTATAATATTACATAAATAAAAAACTTTATATATGTATTTTTTTGTGAAATAATAATTGAATATAATATTTTGTATGAAATATTAATTAGTATATACATATTTATATAGAGTTATAAAATTGCATATTTAAAACGAAAAAAGAAAAGTAAAACTTAACATAAATAAAATATAATTGACCAAAAAAGCAACAATTTTTTTTAAAGAATAGACAAACTCAATATACATAGAATGTGTCGGAAAATTTGTAATTTTTTTGAGAATAATAAAAAAATCTTATGGAAAATATCTATATATGAGAATATGTAAAATATATAATAAAATATATATATATATTAAAAAAATAAAAACAGAATTGTTGGTATCAATCATTTTATAGCAATTTCAAATAAGTAAAAGAAAATTAAAATTAATTAAATTTGTTTGTATGTTATATATCAATATTAATTAACATGTTTTCTTGTGTTGATTGCCCCTAAAGTAGGAAAGAAATCTAAGTTAGGAAAGTAGTCCTAAATTAGGATTTGTAATCTGACCGTTGTACTAATAACTTATTAAGTTAATTCAAAATCTTTGTAATTAATTTATAATCAGTCTTCTCGAACAGACTTGCCATATATACGCGAACACGCCCTGCAACTTAATCCTCGTCCCCATTCCCAATTCCCAATCCCCAAATTCCACATGCAGTTCAGCAGAGAATAGTCCTTGAAGTGGTGTTGGTGTAGGGATCCATTTCTCATGGCATCGCAGTTCCGACGAGATTGGGGCTGGGTATCCCATTTCTCATCGCCGTCCCGTCGTCGCCTTTCAGCATCGATCAACCGCTGTCACAGAATTAACGGTTTAGGGTTCAATTCCGATTGTATGGTAATGTTTTTGTTATCTTTTCTTTTCGGTTTGGATATTTAGGGTTCTTGTTATGTATATTGCAGAGAGAGAAACAGAGAGAAACCCCGTCCTCATCCCTAGAGCCGCATTGCTCAAGAAACGAGCGGATGGATAGTCACGAGAACACCATCAACTGTTCGGTAAGTTTAGATTCCTCTAAACCCTAAACCATTTCCTTTTGTACAGTCTGCGCCTCCAATTTATGATGTCAATATATTATTTTTCTAAAACTGTTTTTGCGATTCACACCCCCACTGTCGTCCTATCTTTTGTTTGTTTCTTGGTTTTTCTTTTTGTTTATTTGTCTCTCAATTCAATTCAAGTTCTTTCCACTCCTATTTTCAAATGTTGAAATGTCATTACGATGTGATCTTCTCCCATTTTTCAAACCCTTTATCTTAAAATTTCAAAATAGCCTACCAAACTTCATTTCAATTTGCATATTTCCTTAATTTCTTCTATCTTTCAAATCCTTTTTCACATGCTAATAATTCTTCCCTCAATCTCTTTTTAAGAATATGATATAGTTTGTACATAATACCACTAACTTTTGTCCCAATCTATATTCTCTCAAAATTTATTTTTACAAAAGTTTGAAGAATTGATTCCCCTAAAATCTCTATCTTTATATTTATATTGTCTGTTCTCTTTTTTAAATAAAACAAATAACTCATTTTTTACTCTGCATGTCATAGTTGAAAAACTGAAGATTTGTGTTCTCCCTTAAACTTATGAGCGTGGTGAATTGGGTGATTCCATAAACTATTCTTTAAAGTGGAGGGAAATTTAAACAGTAAATGTGCCTTTCTCGTCTTTTTACTATTGTCATGTCATACTTAAAAATGTGATGTTTTGGGTTTTCCCCTAGATATGATGAGAATGATGACGGGGGATTACACAAACCATTTTTTCAAGTAAAAAAAAGTATAAACTTTTAAATTTGTATTTTTAAATTTTCTTTTGACTATTTTTTTCCAACCATAGATGAGCAATAGAGGTTCTAAGTTCCTTTTTAGTTGATAGTTCGTGCATACTATGTCAAGTCTTCTTAAAACATTTTTGGAGCCCTAAAACCTAATGTGGATGGTGAATTGGGTGATTCCACGAACCATTCGCATTCATGTAGGTGAGAGGGGAAACCTAGAACTTAATGTGTTTCTTTTTACTATTTTTTTTTCCTATCATACATGAGCCATAGAGGTTCTAAGTTCCTTCTTAATTGATAGTTCGTGCATACTATGTCAAGTCTTCTTAAAACATTTTTGGAGCCCTTAAACCTAATGTGGATGGTGAATTGGGTGATTCCACGAACCATTCACATTCATGTGGGTGAGAGGGGAAACCTAGAACTTAATGTGTTTCTTTTGACTATTTTTTTCCTACCATACATGAGCCATAGAGGTTCTAAGTTCCTTCTTAATTGATAGTTCGTGCATACTATGTCAAGTCTTCTCAAAACATTTTTGGAGCCCTTAAACCTAATGTGGATGGTGAATTGGGTGATTCCACGAACCATTCATGTGGGTGAGAGGGGAAACCTAGAACTTAATGTGTTTCTTTTGACTATTTTTTTCCTACCATAGATGAGCCATAGAGGTTATAAGTTCCTTCTTAATTGATAGTTCGTGCATATTATGTCAAGTCTTCTTAAAACATTTTTTGAGCCCTTAAACCTAATTTGGATGGTGAATTGGGTGATTCCACGAACCATTCATGTGGGTGAGAGGAGAAACCTAGAACTTAATGTATTTCTTAAAAAAAATTGGCCATTTGTTTGTTTTTAATATTAGATGCTATTTTGATTTTTATTTTTTTTGGTGTGTGTGTGTATGAGGTTGGTGGACATAAAGTGGTGGAGGTAGAAACAATGCTCCGGGACTAAGGTGCATCCAAAGATTGTATGATTCTTTCAGTCTCGTAGATTTGGTATCATTTTTGCATCCAAGCATGATGATAAAGTTTGTGTATGTTTGAATCCCTCTAAGGTTGAACAATGTTAAAAAGATTATTATTTTTCTGGATCTTGAATGTAAATGAGAAACTATTAATTATCTAGTTCAAATTTTGATCCAAAACTTCTTTGTTCATTGTGAAAATTGAAAAATATGATTAGATGGTAGTGGCTGTGGACTACAAATGCTTTTATCTGCTCTTTAATTTCATTGTTTTTGTATGCTCTGTAGTAATAGTATTCTGGTAACAGATGATGAAAGTTCTATTCTTAGTGAAAGCCCATCCTGCTACTGCAAAGGTACTTTGGTTTCTTTGTTTCTTTATTACTTATTTAATTACTTAATTAAGCTTGGGACATATGGTTTTTGTTGTTATATTGCAGTGAATGATTGAATGAAACCAGAGACAATATGAGGAGGTAAGGTATGATAGTCCTTGGTATGCACAATGCATTTAACTAATTGTTATGATTTTTACTGTTACTACTTATACAACTATGGCCACAACCTCGTTAGTGTCATTACGTGTTATCCTTTCTATTCCACCGTGTCAGTCTTCCCCCTTCCTTTCTCTGATCTAGTTCATTTGAGCTTGGTTCGTCTCATTATTCCACTTTCTATTAGACTTGCTTTATAATTTACTTTATGGAAATTAAATATTATATGATTAAAATTATGGAAGAGGGTATTATTTCTGCATTAAACTTAGGAAGTTTGTTACAGGCGTTATTCAGGTGGTTTGTTCGGAGTAATTATTACTGTTAATTACAAAATGATACATTGCAGTAGTTAATCACCTCCTCAATCAATCAAAATATCTGATTGCCCACTTATTCATTATTTAACTTTTCTTGTTTCTTCAATCATAAATATCTGACACCCACTCATTCATTCATTACTTGTTTCTTTCTTCTTCTTCATAATAGAGAGTTGAGTAAGAGGATTTCAGTCAGTCGTCTATATATATTGTCTTCCACATTTCTCCTTTCTTTTTTATTTATTTCTTGCTTTATGCAGAAGAGCAGCATGCACAGGCAAAGGCAGAGGCGAAGTTGGTCCTGTTAATTATATACACACATCTATAACAGGTCTAAATACGATGTTCATCATGAATGAGTTGACTTGAGTTGAACAAGCTTTATTGCATCTGATATATTGAACGGGCAGACTAAGGTTTCTCTAATAATGGCTGACAAATTTGTTTTTTTGGTTCATTTTCTTCAGAGAGTGGGAGATAGGGTTGTTTCAAGTTGTCTGGTCAGTAAGTCCCTATCATCTTATTTGGCCAGTGTCCAAGCTGTCTTCGCACTGCACATGTTGTTGCCTTTTCATCCAAGGTGGCAGCATGAAGGACAATGTCAATGCTTGGGCCTTCATATAAAGAATACTGATGTTAGTCGGGTATGCATTTTTTGAATGACATTCTCAATTGATGAGTTGGTGCGTTCAAATCATTCTCTACGTTTCATTTACTATGTACATGTTCAATGATGCTAAATATTACTTATATGGTGGTCATCTTGCAGGGATTTTCAAGGGCTGGATTTTCTTGTACCTGGCTTCACACAGATGGTTAGATACAAGAATGGTAGGAAAAATAAGTTAATTAGGGGTTCTTCACCTTCTTGTATGTGTGTGGTTGTTTATGTTTATTTATTTATTTTAATTTCTCAAATATGATATATATATATATATATCTTTTTCATTTTTGTGTTTGTTTGTGGGCCTTTAGTTTGTGTTTTGTGGGTTCTTCTGCATTGCAAGGCTATGATATGATGAATTGACTTTATTGTGTGATTTTTATTGTTTGATGTGGGGTTATAGTAGGGAAAAAAATGAGATTTATATATGGTTTTGGTATACTCGTGGTGTCTTTTTGTTTTGTGTTGTTGTATTGGTTATGTTGCATTGTTTGTGCATGTGTGTTGTGTTTATGTGTGATATGTTGTGCTTGTGGTGTCTTTTTGGGTTGTGTTGTTTTAATTGTTATGATGCATTGTTTGAACTTGCATGTTATGTTTGTGTATGGTATGGTGCTCTTGAAGTCTCTTTTTTGTGTTATTTGTATTGCTTTGTTGTGCAATTTGTGTGGACTTGAACTGTCTTTTTGTAAGGTATGGTTTTATTCTTATTCTCTGTTGTTTGTGATTGTATGTTTTGTTTATGTATGATATGGTGTGCTTGTAGTGTCTTTCTGGGCTGTGTTGTTTTTATTATTATGATGCATTGTTTGTACTTGTTTGTTGTGTTTATGTATGGTATAGTGCGCTAGTAGTCTCTTTTTTGTGTTGTTTATGTTGTGTTGGTTGTATTGTTATTTTTTGTTGTTTGTGTTTATGGTTTGATGTCCTTGTAGTGTCTTGTTGTTCTGTGTTGTCTATATTGTTATGCAACGTTGTTTGTGTCTATGTATGTGTATGATATGGCGTGCTTGTGGTGCATTTTTGTATGGTATTGTTATATTGCATTATTTGTGCTTGTGTTTTGTATTTATGTATGATAAATGATGTTTGTGGTGTTCTTTTGCATTGTTATGCTGCGTGTTTTTTGCTTCTGTGTTGTGTTTATGAATGATATGGTGTGCTTGTAGTTTCTTTTCGGACTGTGTTGTTTGTATTGTTAGAATGCATTGTTTGTACTTGTGTGTTGTGTTTATACATGGTATGGTGCCCTTGTAATCTCTATTTTTGTGTTGTTTTTCTGTGTATTTTGTGCTTGTGTGTTGTGTTTATGTATTTCTCAAATATATATATATATATATATATTCATGTTACTGTTTTTCTAATGGCTTGTAGTTTATGTTTTGTGTGTTCTTCTACTTCACAAGGCTTTGACATGATGAATTCGATTTATCCTGTGATTTGTTTGATTTGTAACTCGAAATGTTTGATTGCTATTGTGGGCTTTGGATGAGAATTATATACATTCAAGTTCTTTGAGCATTGTGAACTGTTTCTAATCTGAGTAGGTTGTTATTTGCATCTAGATAAATATGACTGTCATTAAACTTTTAAGCTATTTGTTTGTTCTGCCTTTATAAGGTAGCTCTTTAAATTTTGTGTAAGTGTGTATGTAACGAGTGCGAAGGCAGCACTTTTTGGTTCTAGCTTTAAGGTACTATTTACATGTAGTCCAGTAGGCGATTAAGAGCTTGGTTCTTGCTGATACAGGACCTTAGATGAGTTACTCCATTGTCTTGGAAATAAGATTATTCTGGCCATGCTATTCTTAGTGATATCACACTCTGCTGTAATTTCTCTGCTTCTTTAATTGCTTCATTAGGTTTGTGAATTTGGATTCACTTTTATCTTTCTTTCTCCATATGAAACTTTGGTTTTCCTTCTCTTGTAGAGCAGTGCTATTGACTGGTGGGGTCTAGAATAGAACTATATAGCATAAAATTGCTCATTATTTAAGCCCTTTACAGTGGAAAAATACTAATAAATGTCATTGCTGGCATGTAGCCACCCAGGTTTGCTTTCTTGGATCTTCTTACTGCTATATTTTCCATTTCAGCAAATAACCCATGTTTTTCATTTCAATTTCTTCTGACTTCTAAGTTCAGGTATATCCATCTTCCATAAAGACCTCACCTCAGGTATTTTTAATTAATTAATATATATATATATATACACACACGATACATCACTTAAATTATTTTTTTTTAAATAAATTAATACAAATTAAAAAATCATAGGATTACAATTTACAATTGATACTTTTCTATTTTTAATAATATAAAACATAATTTTATTTATTTATTTTTGTTATTGAATATTACCAATATTGTGTTAGAAATAGAATAAATATATTATCGGTTGGGAATCATGTTTGGTAAACATTTAATTTGACAAACAAAATCAGACTTTATATCAATAATAAATACATGGATGATACCATTTTTTTAAATATTAAAATAAATATATATATATATATATTAACAATAAAAATTGATTATTCAATATAATTATTTATATTTTTTCAAAAAATACATCTATTTAAAAATATTGCGAACAAATCCAAAATGTTTCGGGGTTGAAGTTAAGATTGAACTATTTTTTTTTCCATTTTAACTAATTTATTTATTATTTTGTATTTTTTAAGTAAAATTAAAATTCACTTGTTTCGAAAAATTTAGTTCAATTTCTTATATTTTAAAAATTTAGTTGAACCCCCAATGATTGAAGAAATATCGTGTCAGACCATCTAATGTGAGTATAAATTTTTTAAAATTTTTTAATTGTGTGTTTTTCTTTTGAAGATTTTTTTAAATTTTTATTATTTACTTACTAAATTTTATTCTTTCAAAAAATTAAATCAAATATATATTTTTTATATAATTAAAAAATAATTTGACATTCAAAATATTAAATTAATTTTATTTATATTACATCATAAAATTATTTCAATTCAAAATTCATAATTTATATACGCTACTAGCCCCAATGGCCTAAGATAAATTGTTTGACACTAAAGTACTTTGACCGTTGATATAACCCTCACTTCAAAATAAAATTAATAATAATAATAAAATAATATTTTTTTCGTCAAGTTAAAAGTATACAATTATTTTTAGCGCTGGGTAGATAAAAGTAGTAAAATTACATTTTTGTCTTTACTTTTTTGGTATAAAAGTAATGATGTGATGTAAAAAGGGTATTTATGAAAAAAATGAAGTATTTAATAAAATAGAAATATGTATACTTTTTTAACTGGACGGAGGAAGTAATAATGTTACTTATGGATTGTATATAAAAGAGAGTGTGCAAAATTTATTATAGCACAAGAAATTTAGGTTTATGCTAATTTGTCTATTTTTTATGACTCCTTTTTATTTCTTATTTTTATTCCTGCAAAACATATAATTAATTACATATTTGAAATTTTATGTTTTTTATGAATTAAGTTATTAATGGTGTGTATAAATATATATATTTTTGTATTATATAAAATTTGATATTCAATATTATTTTTATTGAAATATAGTATTATGTTCTTTAGTATTTAAGATTTTTTTGGATTTTTTTAGTTATTGGAATTTATTTTTAAAATATTTATTATTATTTTTATTATAAATGTCACATAGTATTTTATAAAAGTGAATAAATTAGTAATTGTTAAAATATTTAAAAAATATATATTGTTAATTTTATTTTTAATCAAATATTTACTACGTCACAATCGAAAAACATTTTATTTTTTAATAATAAAATCGAAATTTTAACAATGATGACTTCTCATAAGGCTAATGTTATTTTTGTCCAAATTAAATTTACTTGAGAGTTTTAAAACAAATGTGGTGCGTTAAGTTAGATCGTAAAGCACTATTGTATTTCTCAATTTCAATTTCATTGATGCTATTTGTTTGATTTTTTGTTCTCAATTTTCAGATTTAATTTCCTTTTTAGCCTTTCCTATTATATATTATATTAGTGTTAATTTCAGTTTCAATTTGATATTATTAATTTGAGTTTATTTAATTTTTATTTTACTACTTAAGTTGTATATTTTTGTATTTACGAGAATTATTAAAAAAAACCCATCGATCTTTGAAGATCATAAAAAGTCCATTTGCAACGATATTAGATAATGTCGGGTATCTTTTACAAAAGATTTATTATTATTATGGTATTGCGTGTTGGGTTGGAAGTTTTATAGATTTTAAGTTTTGATTTGAACAGTAAATTTTTTTAACTAAAATAATTGTTTGATGTACTATAAATAAGTATTCACGCGATATTTTGAATGTAAAATTATTTTTTATTATAATATTAAAAATAAATATTTGATTTAATATTTTTTTAGAAAAAAATATTGAACGAACAGTAGAAATGATCATGAAACTTTTGATTACAACATCCTATATCTTTGTTTCGGAATGGGGTGTAGGTGTGGTTAGTGGATTTTATTTTATTTTATTTTATTTAATTGAGCGAGAAATATTTAGAATTCATCTATTCTTTCACGAGTCATTTCAATGTCGTGCTGGATTTTTTCCAATTGCAAATCAACTTTACGTAATGAAATTGCAAATCAATTTTGTCTATCCGGAACCTGGTTTATAGGGTATTAGATTCGATCGGGGTTTACCTATTGTGCATTTTTGGGCAGCGGCCGCGGATTGATACGTCATAAATAAAAAAATATATATATCCTTATTAAATCGTAGTTTGTTACGATGCAATTCAAGTCGACGTTCAAATATTGGAAAAAAATATTCATATTTTATAACAAATAATAATAATAATAATAATGTAATATTGGATATCGAGAGAATAATTATCTATTGTGTGCTGTAGTTAAAGCAAACTGTTGATATCTTTCTTTCAACTAAATAATTTTAAATATTGTATATGATACTTCCTCCCTTCCGTCCATTAAAATTATTTTATTTAGAATCATCACAGAAATTTAAAAAAAAATAAATATTTTATTAAAAAAATGATAAGTAGTTTGGGGTATTTTTAAAAATTTAATTAAAAGTAAAGTAATAAAATAAATTTAGTGGACAGTGAGAATAAATATTTTTATTGAAAAAGTGATAAGTAGTTGCGAGTATTTTTAAAAATTTAATTCAAAAATAAAGTAATAAAATAAATTTAATGGACATATCAAAAATGAAAGTGAGAATAAATTTGACGGATGAATAGACTATATTAAATAAGAATAAACTATACCTTAAAATTTCACTTTAGAACATATATACTCTCTCCGTCCCAGAGCAAGGTTCCCCTTTACTTTTTTGCACATAGATTTTTTTAATATTAGTATTATAATGGGTTATAGTGAAAAAGACGAAAATGCCCTTGGTATTGTGTAATATAAAAGTAATGACATTTATGCAATATAGTGTAAGTTTGAAGAGTATTTATTATGTTAGATAAATAATACAATTACTAAATTAGAAAATAATAATCTTATTATTTGGACGAACGAAAATGAAAAATGACAGTATTACTTTTAATTATACATTTCAATTAAAATATATTATTTTTTAAACATTGTCAAAAATAAATGTTTCCTTTCAAATTGGAGGGATGGAATATTTCAATTTGCTTTGAAAAATCATACTCTTCGTTCTAATACAATTATCTTGTTTACTTATTTTTATTCACAAAACAATAGTCACCATAAAATTATCTTTACTTATTATTATTATTATTATTATACTAATACATTTAGGTAAAAAAAAGTTTCACTTATTTTTTTACAAAGCATTAATATAACCAATATTTTTAAATTTTGTGTTCAACACAAAGAAAACTATAATTCCGAGTATATAATTTTGACAAATGAATAGAAAATTTAAAACTTCAATTCATCCCATATACATTAGAATTTGTCTTTTTTAAAAAATAAAAAATTATTGTTATTTAATTGACCCAAAAAGCAACAATTTTTTTTAAAGAGTAGACAAACTCAATATACATAGAATGTGTCGAAAAGATTGTAATTTTTCTGAGAATAATAAAAGAATCTTATAGATAATATATATATATATATTAAAAAAAATAAAAACATAATTGTTGGTATCAATCATTTTATAGCAATTTCAAACAAGTAAAAGAAAATTAAAATTAATTAAATTTGTTTGTATGTATATATCAATATTAATTAACATGTTTTCTTGTGTTGATTGCCCCTAAAGTAGGAAAGTAATCTAAGTTAGGAAAGTAATCCTAAATTAGGATTGTAATCTGACCGTTGTACTAATCACTTATTAAATTAACTCAAAATCTTTGTAATTAATTTATAATCAGTCTACTAGCCGTTGCCATATATACACGAACACGCCCTGCAACTTAATCCTTGTCCCAATTCCCAATTCCCAATCCCCAAATTCCATCTGCAGTTCAGCAGAGAATAGTCCTTGAAGTGGCGTTGGCGTAGGGATCCATTTCTCGTCGCATCGCAGTTCCGACGAGATTGGGGCTGGGTATCCCGTTTCTCGTCGCCGTCCCGTCGTCGCCTTTCAGCATCGATCAACCGCTGTCACAGAATTAACGGTTTAGGGTTCAATTCCGATTGTATGGTAATGTTTTTGTTATCTTTTCTTTTCGGTTTGGATATTTAGGGTTCTTGTTAGGTATATTGCAGAGAAAGAAACAGAGCCCGTCCTCATCCCTAGAGCCGCATTGCTCAAGAAACGAGTGGATGGATAGTCCCGAGAACACCATCAACTGTTCGGTAAGTTTAGATTCCTCTAAACCCTAAACCCTTTCCCTTTGTACAGTCAGCGCCTCCAATTTATGATGGCAACAGATTATTTTTCTAAAACTGTTTTTGCGATTCACACCCCCACTGTCGTCCTGTCTTTTGTTTGTTTCTTGGTTTTTCTTTTTGTTTATTTGTCTCCCAATTCAATTCAAGTTCTTTCCACTCCTATTTTCAAATGTTGAATGTCATTACGATGTGATCTTCTCCCATTTTTCAAATCCTTTATCTTAAATTTTCAAAATAGCCTACCAAACATCATTTCGATTTGCATATTTCCTTAATTTCTTCTATCTTTCAAATCCTTTTTCCAGACATGCTAATAATTCTTCCCTCAATCTCTTTTTAAGAATATGATATAGTTTGTACATAATATCACTAATTTTTGTCCCAATCTATATTCTCTCAAAATTTATTTTTACAAAAGTTTGAAGTAATTGATTCCCCTAATATCTTTATACTTATATCTAATATCTTTATATTTATATCGTCTCTTCTCTTTTTTAAATAAAACAAATAACTCCTTTTTTACTCGCATGTCAATAGTTGAAAAATTGAAGATTTGTGTTCTCCCTTAACTGATGAGCGTGGTGGTGAATTGGGTGATTCCACGAACCATTCCTTTAAGTAAAAAGGGAGTATAAACCTTTAAATATGTATTCTAAAATTTTCTTTTGACTATCTTTTTCCTACCATAGACGAGTCATAGAGGTTCTAAGTTCCTTTTTAATTGATAGTTCGTGCATACTATGTCAAGTCTTCTTAAAACATTTTTGGAGCCCTAAAACCTAATGTGGATGGTGAATTGGGTGATTCCACGAACCATTCACATTCATGTAGGTGAGAGGGGAAACCTAGAACTTAATGTGTTTCTTTTGACTATTTTTTTTCCTACCATACATGAGCCATAGAGGTTCTAAGTTCCTTCTTAATTGATAGTTCGTGCATACTATGTCAAGTCTTCTTAAAACATTTTTGGAGCCCTTAAACCTAATGTGGATGGTGAATTGGGTGATTCCACGAACCATTCACATTCATGTGGGTGAGAGGGGAAACCTAGAACTTAATGTGTTTCTTTTGACTATTCTTTTCCTACCATATCTTAATTGATAGTTCGTGCATACTATGTCAAGTCTTCTTAAAACATTTTTTGAGCCCTTAAACCTAATGTGGATGGTGAATTGGGTGATTCCACGAACCATTCACATTCATGTGGGTGAGAGGGGAAACCTAGAACTTAATGTGTTTCTTTTGACTATTTTTTTTTTTCTACCATAGATGAGCCATAGAGGCTCTAAGTTCCTTCTTAATTGATAGTTCGTGCATATTACGTCAAGTCTTCTTAAAATATTTTTGGAGCCCTTAAACCTAATGTGGATGGTGAATTGGGTGATTCCACGAACCATTCATGTGGGTGAGAGGGGAAACCTAGAACTTAATGTGTTTCTTAAAAAAAATTGGCCATTTTTTCCTTTTCAACTGTTGTCTACTATAGTTGAACAATTGAGGTTTTGGATTTTTCCTTAAATCGTTAGAATTATGTGATTCCACAAGCCTTTCCTTGTGGAAGGGGAAATATAATGTATTTACATGTGTCTTCTCTATGGTTATTTACAATATAAAACTAGTTCTTCTTATTTTTAGCTCTTATTTTAAGTTTGTATTTTTTCCAAAATTGTTTTCAACTCAATATATTTTACCTTCATAAAATGGCATTGTGGCAATTTTCAAAACATGATTTCTTTTTTCAATCTGATATGCTGACTAACTATGCATTCAAGTTCTGTTGACCTATTTTTTGATCAATGATGAAGTTTCTTGCTGGTGCCAATGCCGTTCTTGTTATGTGCAATTCTTTAGTTGATTTCACTTCCTGTCACTATATTTTATCAAGCTTACTTCTGTTTGTTTAGAAACATACCAATCTTTTTAGTTGGAAGGAACTTTACTACCGTCTTTTCAAAAGTATGTTGTTATTTACTTGTTTGTTTTTAATATTAGATGCTATTTTTATTTTTATTTTTTTTGGTGTGTGTGTGTATGAGGTTGGTGGACATAAAGTGGGGGAGGTTGAAACAAAGCTCCGGGACTAAGGTGCATCTAAAGATTGTATGATTCTCTCAGTCTCGTAGATTTGGTAGCATTTTTGCATCCAAGCATGATGATAAAGTTTGTGTATGTTTTGATCCCTCATTTCTTCTTTCTTTTTTATTTATTTCTTGCTTTATGCAGAAGAGCAGCATGCACAGGCAAAGGCAGAGGCAAAGTTGGTCCTGTTAATTATATACATACATCTATAACAGGTCTAAATACGATGTTCATCATGAATGAGTTGACTTGAGTTGAACAAGCTTTATTGCATCTGATATATTGAACGGGCAGACTAAGGTTTCTCTAATAATGGCTGACAAATTTGTTTTTTTGGTTCATTTTCTTCAGAGAGTGGAAGATACGGTTGTTTCAAGTTGTCTGGTCTGTAAATCCCTATCATTTTATTCGGCCAGTATCGAAACCGTCTTCGCACTGCACATGTTGTTGCCTTTTCATCCAAGGTGGCAGCATGAATGACAATGTTAATGCTTGGGCCTTCATATAAAGAATACTGATGTTAGTCGGGTATGCATTTTTTGAATGACATTCTCAATTGATGAGTTGGTGCATCCAAACCATTCTCTTTGTTTCATTTATTATGTACATGTTCATTGATGCTACATATTACTTATGTGGCGGTCATCTTGCAGGGATTTCCAAGGGCTGGAGTTGCTACTACCTGGCTTCACACAGATGGTTAAATACAAGAATGGTAGGAAAAATAAGTTAATTAGGGGTTCTCCACCTTCTTGTGTGTGTGTGGTTGTTTATGTTTATTTATCTATTTTAATTTCTCAAATATTATATATATATATATATCTTTTCATTTTTGTGTTTGTTTGTGGGCCTTTAGTTTGTGTTTTGTGGGTTCTTCTGCATTGCAAGGCTATGATATGATGAATTGACTTTATTGTGTGATTTTTATTGTTTGATGTGTGGTTATAGTAGGGGAAAAAATGAGATTTATATACGGTTTTGGTATACTCATGGTGTCTTTTTGTTTTGTGTTGTTGTATTGGTTATGTTGCATTGTTTGTGCTTGTGTGTTGTGTTTATGTATGACATGTTGTGCTTGTGGTGTCTTTTTGGGTTGTGTTTTTTTAATTGTTATGATGCATTGTTTGAACTTGCATGTTATGTTTGTCTATGGTATGGTGCTCTTGAAGTCTCTTGTTTGTGTTATTTGTATTGTTTTGTTGTGCAATTTGTGTGGACTTGTACTGTCTTTTTGTAAGGTATGGTTTTATTCTTATTCTCTGTTGTTTGTGATTGTATGTTTTGTTTATGTATGATATGGTGTGCTTGTAGTGTCTTTCTGGGCTATGTTGTTTTTATTATTACGATGCGTTGTTTGTACTTGTTTGTTGTGTTTATGTATGGTATAGTGCGCTAGTAGTCTCTTTTTTGTGTTGTTTATGTTGTGTTGGTTGTATTGTTATTTTGTGTTGTTTGTGTTTATGGTTTGATGTCCTTGTGGTGTCTTGTTGTTCTGTGTTGTCTATATTGTTATGCAACGTTGTTTGTGTTTATGTATGTGTATGATATGGCGTGCTTGTGGTGCATTTTTGTATGGTATTGTTATATTGCATTATTTGTGCTTGTGTTTTGTATTTATGTATGATAAATGATGTTTGTGGTGTTCTTTTGCATTGTTATGCTGCGTGTTTTTCGCTTCTGTGTTGTGTTTATGAATGATATGGTGTGCTTGTAGTTTCTTTTCGGACTGTGTTGTTTGTATTGTTAGAATGCATTGTTTGTACTTGTGTGTTGTGTTTATACATGGTATGGTGCTCTTGTAATCTCTATTTTTGTGTTGTTTTTCTGTGTATTTTGTGCTTGTGTGTTGTGTTTATGTATTTCTCAAATATATATATATATATTCATGTTACTGTTTTTCTAATGGCTTGTAGTTTATGTTTTGTGTGTTCTTCTACTTCACAAGGCTTTGACATGATGAATTCGATTTATCCTGTGATTTGTTTGATTTGTAACTTGAAATGTTTGATTGCTATTGTAGGCTTTGGATGAGAATTATATACCTTCAAGTTCTTTGAGCATTATGAATTGTTTCTTATCCGAGTAGGTTGTTATTTGCATCTAGATAAATGAGAGTGCCATTAAACTTTTAAGATATTTGTTTGTTCTGCCTTTATAACGTAGCTCTTTAAATTTTGTGTAAGTATTTATGTAACAATTTGGAAGACAACACTTTTTGGTCGATCAAGGTTACAGCTATAAGGTACTGTTTACATCTAGTCCAGTAGATCATTTTTTAACTTATGAATTAATTTACTTATGTATTTGTGCATGGAACTGTTTCTAGGCGATTAAGAGTTTGGTTCTTGCTGATACAGGACCTTGGATGAGTTACTCCATTGTCTTCAAAATAAGATTATTCTTAGTGAGAGCACACTCTGCTGTAATTTCTCTGTTTCTTTACTACTAGTTTAATTGCTTCATTAGGTTTGTGAATTTGGATTCACTTTTATCTTTCTTTCATATGAAAATTTGGTATTGACTGGTGGGGTCTTAGAATAGAACTATAACATAAAATTGCTCATTATTTAAGCCCTTTACAGTGGAAAAATACTAATAAATGTCATTGCTGGCATGTAGCCACCCAGGTTTGCTTTCTTGGATCTTCTTACTGCTATATTTTCCATTTCAGCAAATAACCCATGTTTTTCATTTCAATTTCTTCTTCTCACTTCTAATTTCAGGTATATCCATCTTCCATAAAGACCTCACCTCAGGTATTTTTAATTAATTAATATATATATATATATATACACACACACGATACATCACTTAAATTATTTTTTTTTTAAATAAATTAATACAAATTAAAAAATCATAGGATTACAATTTACAATTGATACTTTTCTATTTTTAATAATATAAAACATAATTTTATTTATTTATTTTTGTTATTGAATATTAATATTGTGTTAGAGAATAGAATAAATATATTTTATGTGTTGGGAATTATGTTGGTAAACATTTAATTAGACAAACAAATTCAGATTTTATATCAATAATAAATATTTGAGTGATTTAATTTTTTATAAATATTATTTTTTAAAAAATACAATATATACATATTAACATAAAAATTAATTATTTAATATTAAATTTTTTTTTTTTTTATATTAACTATATAATTATTCATATTTTTTTAAGAAAAGACATCTATTTAAAAATATTGCGAACAAATCCAATTTTTTTTTTTTTTTTTTTTAAATTTGAACTAATTTATCTATTATTTTGTATTTTAAAGCAAAATAGCATAAAATTTACTTATTATTTCGGAAAATTGCATCTAATTTCTTATATTTTTAAAATTTCGTCGAACCCTCTGTGATTGAATAAATACTGTGTCAAACCATCTACGGTCAATGGTTAATGAAAATTGAGTTACAAACGCCCTTTAATATGAGTATAACTCATTAAAAATTGCAATAATATAATAATAAATTTACAATTTTATCCTTAAGTGTGTTTTTCTGAAAAATTTATTTGAACTTTTATCATTTATTTACTAAATTTTATTTTTTAATAAATTGAATCAAATATTTATTCTTATTTTTATATAATATTAAAAATTAATTGCACATTCAAAACATTAATTAATTTTTATATTATATTATAAAAATATTTCAATCTAAAATTCAACTTATCCTAAAATTCCCGATGGCCTAAGACTTGTTTAACACTAAAATTGACTTTGACCAAAGATATATTGTAGCTTAAAATAAAAATAAAATAATAATAATGCTAGTTATGGTTATATATAAAAGAAAGAGTGCAAATTTTATTAAACCATAAGGGATTTAACACATTTTTTCGAAATACGTAGGTTTTGTGCTATTTTGTCTATTTTCTTCTATGACTCATTTTGATTTCTTATTTTTATTCTTGTAAAACATATAATTAATTATATATTTAAAATTTTATAATTTTTTATAAATTAAGTTATTAATGGTTTGTATAAATATATAGTATTTTTTATTATATAAAATTTTATATTTAATATTATTTTATTGAAATATAATTCACTCTGTTTTTTCAACACAATTTTTCAATTGCAATTTAAAAAATAATAATAAACAATACAAAAAAATTCAAAAAAGAAAAACTTTAAAGACTCAGTAAAAATATCAAAAATCAAATATTCAACTTAAAATAATACTTCATCCGTCGCGAGAGATGAATAATATATATATATTTATTTATAATTAATTTAAAATTAATTTTATAAAAAATGATAAATATTAAATAGAGATAAAAATATTTGTTTATTGAAAAGAAAGATAGAAATAAGGGGTTTTCAATGAATTCTATGTGTAAGAAGTTAAAAATATAGTTAAATTAATTTATATTTATTAAATATATTTAAAATGAATAAATTTATTAAAAATAGAAATGGGTAACCTTTTACAAGATGAACAAAAAAGAAAATGAGTCATCTGTTACGGCAGCCAAATAGGTTCTTTTAGTATTTAAGAAAATTTTGAATTTTTTTAGTTATTTAAATTTATTATTAAAATATTACTATTTTTAAATATGTATATTATAACTGTCACATAGTATTTTATAAAAGTGAATAAATCAGTAATTTTTAAAATAGTTAAAAATATATATATTTTTAAATTATATATTTACTACATCACAATCGAAAAACATTTTATTTTTCAATAATAAAATCAAAATTTTAATGGTGGAACAAATTGTGCAATGATGATTTCTCAAATTAATGAAGTTTTAACTTCAGAGTTTCAAATCAGATGTGGTGCGATAGGTTAGATTGTAATATATTAGTATTAATTTCAGTTTCAATTTGATATTATTTACTTGAGTTTATTTAATTTTTATTTTACTACTTAAGTCGTATATTTCTGAATTTTAGACATATACACAACACACTTTTCAACTTGCAATAAAATGCATTTTCGTGTGGACATTCATCAACTCAATCCATTTGAAACTTCTTCGATGGAATGATGACTGAAATCTTTGAAGATCATCAAAAATCCATGTGCAACATCATCGGATCATGTCGGTTATCTTTTACAAAAGATTTATTATTATTATTATTATTAATTTTCTTATTTTTAATCCCATATTGTAGGATTTATTATTATTATTATTAATTTTTTTATTAATTTTCTTATTTTTAATCCCATATTGTAGGGTGGTGTTGCGTGTTTGGTTGAAAATTGTGTTTGTTCGAGGGTTTGGATTTTGAGTTGGGATTTGAATAGTAAAAAGTTTGAATTTGAATAGTTGTATAATATGATATAAATAGGTGTTGATGCGATGTTTTGAATGTAAAATTGATTTTTAGTATAATATAAAAAATGAAGAATAGATGTTTGATTTTAAGGAAAAAAATAGGATGAATAGTGTCTTTAAAATCAAATCCCCCAAACAAACACACAATAGATTTTGAGTTTTGATTTGAATAGTAAAATTTTTTAATTAAAATAATTATTTGATGTAATATAAATAAGTATTGATGTGATATTATGAATATAAAATTAATTTTTATTATAGTATTAAAAATAAATATTTGATTCGATATTTTTTTAGAAAAATAAAATAGAAAGAACAGTAGAAGTTATCATAACCCTTCAAACAAACCTTTGATTAAAACATCCAATGTGTCTTTCATTTCATTTTACTCCAAATGTCCAATAATTAGATATCGATTTGCTTTTTGCACGTAGTTTTAAAAATGTTAGTATTATATTAGAATATAATAAGAATAAAATAGGAATAACTAAAATAACCTTATTAGTTTGTGTGACATCTGTGTAATATATTGTAAGGGTATTTGTAAAGTTAGTAGATAGTGCAATTACTTAAAAAAAAAAAAAATTGATACTTTGTTATAAGATAGAGGGAGTATTTTTTTTCTTAAATTGAGCAAGAAATGTTTGAAATTCATCTATTCTTAATATGGGTCGTTTCAATGTCGGATTGGATTTTTTACAAGGTGGTGCAGGGTTGGATCGTGTGACCCTGAGATCTTTTTCTACTATAAATTTAGTGAATAATAATAATAAATAATAATAAAAAATAATATAATATTGGATAGAGAGAATAATTATGTTGTGTAGTAAAAACAAGCAGTTGATGTTTTCCTCCGTCCCAGAACCCTCTACTGTACACAAATGTAATTAATAAATAATTAAAAATATATTGTTAAAAATAATTACTGCCTCGTCCCATATAATTTATCCTTATTTTTTTATTTTTATCCGTTCTACATAACTTGTTCTTTTTTTTAATTATAATTAAACTATTTAATTATCTTAATTTTAATTTATAATTATTTTTACTAATACACTTCTTAATTACTTACTAATTATATTTTATCTAAATTCTCGTATCTACAGTAATACATTCATATTACATGAGATAAAAAAAATATTATTTAATAAAAATAATTTTGAATTAAAATATAGATAACTAATCAGTATAATTAACATTTAAAAAATTAAATTAAAAATTTTAGAATAAAATTAAAGTATATAAATGGGACAAACTAAATTGAAAGGATGGACACAGAATTAAATAAGAATGAACTATACCATAAAAATTTCACTTAAAAAAAATATAAATTTAAATTAAATTATAAGTACACGTCACTTATCCAAAAATAAATAGCAGAAAAGCGCGCACTAAAGAATGGACACGCGCCCATGCATTACGTGTCCAAGGCGGGCACCTATTCGTGGCCCAAAAACGCTGCCAAAAAGCGTGTCTTACATTATTGCCTTCATTAAATGCGACTTTAGATTAGAAAGCTCTACCACCTTCACTTCACTTCACTTCACTGCACAATAAAGTAAAAGCACGTTCAGTCCAAACCGTCGGCCATCGCTCGAAGCCACCGGAAAGTGGATTTGATTCCGATTGCAATCAGTTTACTACCTAATTGCAGCAATCAAGGATAAGATAATGTCGATCGAGCAGTAATCGAAAAAAATAATAATAATTCAAAAGTTTGTGGCAGATTCACGCACTGTCGCCCGCATAGAATTCCCCCAGAAGAATCACGAAAAAGACGACGATCCAAACAGTGGAGATTTAAAGCGTCACAGGAGTCACGTTAAAGAGTGGAAAAGGCGCATTAATTGAAGAAAAAAAAGTTGAGGAGGAGGAGGAGTGGGCCGGAAAATGAAGAACAATATCAGCAGCATAAGCAGCAACAGCAGCAGCTGCAGCAGCAGCAGCATCAGCGACAGTAAGAAGAGTCATGAGGTGATGGACGGTTCGGATATAAAGGAGTTGGTTGAGAACCAAAAAGTATTCAGCAAATTCGCGAGCCGTAAGTTCGAGGAACTCGACACCGACTGCGACGGCAAGCTATCGGTCAAAGAGCTGCAACCTGCTGTGGCGGATATCGGCGCCGCTCTCGGCCTTCCAGCTCAGGGAACGTCCCCTGAATCCGATCGTATTTATGCTGAGGTCCTTCCTTTATCAATTCCTTTAGTTTCTACCCTCCCTGTTTTTTTGTTGTTCAACAGCATTGGCTCAGTTATAACGAATTATTTGCATATCTTATCTTCATCTCGATTCTGTGTTATCTCCAATTCTCCATTGCTTGGATTTTCCAGGTATGAGCTCTTCAAGTAGGGTTATTGTAAATTTGTAATGGAATTGATTTAGCATATAGAGTTATAGACAGGACAAAAACTCCGACACTTTTAACTTTTAAGAGAACATCTAAAGGGAAAAGCTATTAATTGATCTTTTCCATTGCTTTATCTTCTTTGTTTATGAAGTGAGAATGGAGTGTATCCTTTTGATAATTCATGAAAATGGCGGTGGGACCGAATAAAATGTTTTGCAACCTTAGAAACTCTAAGAATTAAGAAGACTCCCAAAGAAGCCTTTTATGGCTAAGACAAAAAGGGGGCTGATAGGGACACTGCAACATCATTCCTAATCCCATTCATTTGTTTAATCTCCCACTAAGGTGTTGAATGATAAACACTATTCGAAGATGGTCCTAATTTTCGTGGACCGAAAGTGAAATTGTGTCTGTGGTGAAATGAAAACAATCTATAAGTGTTTCGACGAAAGTAGCATCATTCTCCACCAAATTGAGGTGGATTTGTGGACTTTACAGGCTTGTATGTATATTAGTCGCCTAACGTGGTTGGTATAAAGTTGAAATGTAAATAAAGTGTTATGAGGAATGCTTAACCTTTTAGTGATGGTAGGTCAGTCAAATACACTCGTGTTCCATTGATTGCTTTGAAACGGAAGCATATGTAGACTTGGGCTGTTGTTTTTCATCTGAATGTTCGATATCTATAGATATGATTATAAGTTTCTCATTAAGTATGGTTCTCTTATGAAACTGAACTGCATGGTGTTGTTATCTTGATCCAAACCAGGTTCTTCATGAGTTTACGAACGGCAAACAAGGAGAAATAAGCAAGAGTACATTCAAAGAGGTTCTATCAGATTTTCTTCTGGGGATGGCGGCTGGTTTGAAGCGTGATCCTGTTGTGATTCTTCGGATTGACGGAGAAGACCTCCACGAGTTTCTTAAGTGCCCAACTTTTGAACCTGAGATGCTTTCTATATTTTCAGAGATTGAGATGCCAGACCGATCCCTTAAAGATCACATCATCAAGGCTTTTGAGAAACTCACAGTCGACAGAGGAATGCCTCCTGCTGCAGATCCTTGGGTAAGGCTCGAAATCCTGATCGACAAACTGCAGTACAGTTCTTTGAGCAATGGCTTCCATCTTTTGTAGGTAATGGATAACATAGTGAAACCGTCGTTAGAATCGCTCGACCCTGCCCTAGAGCAGCCGGTCTCGCAGGAAACATTTTTATCGGAGTTTAAACAAGCTGCAGAGAGAATTGTGCAACACCTCAAGGAACAGCCGGCCATCGTTGCCCACAGCCAGAATACATTCGATGGGAGCGGCGTTAGGAGACTATTGTCGAACAAATTCGAGCTGGATAAGGTTACAGCAATGTTTGTTGCGTTCATTTTTTGACTTCCTTTGAATTTGGACTTACATGACTTTGCTTGTGCATGCTATCCAATATAGACACTGGAATCTGTCGTTGAGAGTGTTCCCAAAGATCGAAATGGGAAGTTGTCGAAAGAGTATTTGGTCACGGCTCTCGATTCTTTGGCTGCCTCGGCCGGCTTGCCACCTCTAGGAGCAGTTGATCAGGTATCGATATATTTAAATTTAACCTCGTAACTTTAATGGGATCCGAATCTTGCGAGATTTTTGCGCAGATGGATACGATCATGAATGAAGCTCTGAAAATGGCGGAGTCGGGCAATGGTAAAACGGTGAAAGAAGACGAGTTCAAGAAGCTCCTGACGGAAGTTCTCGGAAGCATAATGCTGCAGCTGGAAGGCAGCCCGGTGTCAGTGTCGATAAACTCTGTTGTGCACGAGCCGCTAGCGTCGTCGTCGACGCTGCTGCAGCCATCGTCGCCATAGCTGGCTTGGGTTGTATTGTATTGTATTGTAATTACAGAAGAGCAAGAAGATGATGATGGTGGTTCAAAAACAACAAACAGAGAAATAACAAAGGCATCGTGTATGTATATGTATGTATTTGTGTGTTTATTTTTATGGGTGTTGGGATTTATGGTTGGTGGTGTTAAGAATTACATTAGAATTGGATATGAATCTCATCTTTTAGCTTCTAACTTTTCGAACAACTGATGTAATGTACTAATGTTTTTAGTGTTATGGATGGATGCCAAATTGCCAATGATGGTTGCATTTTGTTGATACATACATACTATATGCTAGTGTATTGTAATGTTTTAACTTAAATGAAAATATATATATATATATTATTATGTGTATAATTTGTTTTGCTTTTTATTTTTTTTTATGACGTTTAAATTTTTTAAACTTATTTTTTAGTCAGATTTTACTTCTGTTATTTGTTTAAATTGTAATTTTCTTGTGAAAGTTCTTAGCTTCCAAGATTAAAATTTCAAATTCAATCCTGTACTGAATTGTAACTAATTTAAACATAATTGAGTGTGTTTACTTGTCAAATTTTACCCCTGATTTTACTATTTCAAACTTTTTTTTTTCCTCCAAAAATATCAAATCAAACACTCAATTTTTATTTATTTTATTACACTAAAATCTAATTTTACATTCAAAATATCAAGTCAACACATATTTATATCACATCAAATAACTATTTTAATTCAAAATTTTACTATTCAAAATCAAAACCCAAAACTAAAACCTCACAACCAAATTGATTCATGGAGAGTGTCAAACTTTAACAATGAGTTTGTGTACACAGAATTATATATTAATAAAAACATATTCAATAAGTTTAAAAATAATACAGATAAATAAAAATAATGTATTTATATATAATTAATATAAATTAATCTTACAAAAAAGCATTGAACGAAATAAATCACTTTATTTCATTAAAAGAGAAAAAAATAAACATATAAATTTGTCACTCCGCAAACATTTTAAAAAATGCAAAACAAAACCCCAAATTTATCAATATGTATACAGTAGTACATATACATATATATATATATATAAACTTTACACTTACTATTATATAATTGACCCACGAAAATATGTACTCAAATCAAAAGAAATAAGACAGGCATAATTTCCTCTATATATCTTTTTTAAGTGAATATTTATAGAGAAACTAATGTCAAATTGAAGAAGTGAGAGTGGGCAAGTAAAATTGAAGTAAAATTCAAAATGTCTAAGCAACTAAAAGACCACATTTAAGCATGCATACAATTCCAAATGGCTTCATTGATTTCTCTATAAAAATTAAATGATATAATTACTCGTACCTGTTCTATATTTGGTATGGAGATCAGTCCTTAAGCTCAAACAGACTCATAGCTCATCCTTGTCATCGGAGGTATTGAAATTATCGCTATCTGTAGAATCGGAGGAAGGCGTTGGCTTCTCCTTCTCCGACGAGGCTGATGGCTTCTGCAGTTTGAATGGAATGGATGCGTGCTTCTTTAGGAACTTGTAGAATTCGACCACAGTTCGGTCCGACTCAAAAGTTATCTGAAAAGTGAATTTCCAGAGGAAGTAAGTTGGGATTATGCCACTTAGTATGTACATTTGTTGTGTGAAGGGAGGTGAAGTTATACCGGATCGAAACTCTTATTGCCAGCTGGGAAGAACAGAATTGTCGGGAAACCATCAGACTGCAAAAGGAAAAATGTGGATAGATCATTGTTTGAAGAAAAACATTTGTCTTGTAGTTGCATTGCAAGATTCAGTAATTTGAATATTAGGAAATCGACCACATTCAAATAAGCATGGTGAACTGAATGGAATGCATAGAATGAATTCTGCCAAATTACAAAAAGGAACATGCTATGAAAATGGATGCACAAAGAGGGATTATATTATAAATGAATTAGATTAAATTCCTTCAAGCATGTTTCCTTTTGATTCTAATTAGATTTCAAACCACCACATTGGATTCTAAGGTAATTATAGAATATGCACAGGAATCCTAGTTGTCATACCTTGGCTCGGGGGTGCTCATTTGTTGTCCCGTCCATCTTGGCAATGACGAGGGAATCAATGCCTCTCAAGTACTTGCCAAGTTTGTTGTAGATGGGTTCCAAAGCTTGGCAGTGTCCACACCAAGGTGCGTATATCTTATTCCACATTTGACCAAAAACACAGATCACAATTTAAAGCTATAGTGAATCGATATTGTTTGGATTCTTATAGTTTTGAAAATATATACCTCAAGAAGAACATCTTTCGACTCATCCAACACAATTTCATCAAAGTTGTCGCCAACCACTATCTTGACATCACCATCATTCTGCAAGAAAAATGACCAAAGAATTGGAAAAAGGCACAATAGTGTCTCATCAAAGTTTAATGATAACAGAATAAGCTTACGTTCTTGGGAATAGGGTCTGATTTGTAGAAAGGCTTCAGATTGTCGTCCAAAAACTTCTCTCCAAATGACTGCATTTTAAGAAACTTTTAGCCAACAATCTTGATATTGTCGGGTGAAAGCAGATGATTTTCAGAAAAAGAAATAATTGACCTTGATACTTTCTATGGTTATTTCACCACTCAATATGAACTTCCTGGCATCATCATTTCCGGTATATGCAATAACCTGCATTTGCCATTTTCATTCTTTGGTTATTGTAATGTGTATGATTCAAATGTAACATGTATGTTAGATACTTCAACAAAGGGATTAAAAGATGCAGTGAAAAAGGAATATCATCAAAACTCACACTTGATTCTTCACCACTGACTCCAAAATACTCAGCAACTTGTTTTCCAACATCTTCATTGTCCAGATCCACTAACACACATAGAAGCTGCCAAGTAGAGTCAAAATATAATTTGTAGTCGATAGAAGGCAAAACTTTAATGTTAATTAAATAAGGTTTAAAGAAGAACCACACTCATGGCGTGGCATCTGCTTTACAGAACAAAGAGTGATAAAAGATTTTAGGTTGAAGGATTAAGCCTAATAGATTATACAATCAAGGCTAAACTAGGCTAAGAACCCATGATTGTTTTGAAGCTTGGATAAATGAAAAGAAAGTGGACTAAATAATCGAATCCTATGTTATTTACTAAATCAACAGGGACTTGTGGCTAATAATAAAGATTTGCAATAATTAAACACATCAACGGCAGGAATGAAATCTAGAAACTGACAAGGGGAAACCAGTAAACAGGAGTCAAGACACATCCATTCTATACAATTGTCATCAGTGATGCTATAGTTAAATTTAAGCACATGGATTCAATTTTACAGAAAAACTACACTACAAACAAAACAGATCAAAAAGTGCTTCATTTAATATCACTGGGCTCACAAATGTTTTGGTAAAAGTGCTTTCACGCACGCAAAAATAAATAAATAAACACGCTGTTGGAAGAATTACTCACTTTTCCCTTGAAAGCCTTTGCTGCCTCTTGGAATACTGGATAAACTCTCTCCGAATCATTTGACGTTGCAAAAAGAATTAACTGTAACAGTAGAAGCATCAAAGAATTAAACATTAGATGAAGCTAAAGGATTCCTTATCCTTAACACAAACATGTAAGTACGCAGGAATGCAATACCTGTTTCTTAATTGGATTCTCAAACACAAATGGAGCACTTTCACGTGTAAAATTGGTGACAAGTGGAAGCTTGTTCTCAAACACAAACTCAGCTATTGCAGATTTAGTAAACTCACCACCTGGAATAATGGGCTAGGGAATCAATAATGAATTTGATTATAAATCATTTAAATTCAAGGAATGTGGACTGAGGGATCTGACCAAATTTGCTAAGTTTCTCAGCTTCTTTCTTAACAATGACCAAGGATGGGCGCTTGGCATGTGGATCAATATGGAAAAGTTTCGCTACATCTGGACTTGAAGTCTGGTAAAAGTTAACATCATCTTCTAACTTTGAAGCAGCAGCAAGCTCCTCACTCTCTAAACCCTACAAATTTTCAGTAAATCAATCAAGAACACAGAGAAGAGGCCGTGTGCCAATCAAGCTTTTTCTGTTCTAACCAAATAACTTCTAGCTACAGTGCAACTGACCAACTAACTATAATACATCGGCTAAGAAGCAAATAATAGTGGTAAAAAAATGATAGGGATCTTACCACCAAACTTTCTAGGTAGCCCACAACTAATTTATCTTCATCTGTCAAGATCCTCTCTGCCTCCTCAACCGTAGTTATATTGTGTAGACCTGGACCTATCTTTTTCTTCAACCAAGTGACAATAGCATCTCTGCAACAAAAAACACCAAATTAGGGAAATCAGAACCTAAAATCCAGGAAAGTGGTGGTAGCATTGAATATAACTTTGCAATTGCATATATTGGAGAAGATGATAAACAGAAACAATCAACAAAATCACAATAACATGCCCGTCATTAAAGCTTCTTATAAACACATTCTACAAGGCCAACAATAAGCAAATTATGTACACAGTTACCCTCTTCCCTCTCTGTCCACTACATTAGAAAACATAGATCAAAATAACAATATGATTGTATTGTTAGCAACTGTTTACAGGTCAAGTATTAATATAGGTTATTCTTCAGCGAGAATGAGAAACAACAAAATAAAATTTCAAGAAATATGAAATACAACCCAGATATTTGAGGGTGTGTTTACTTCATGGGATTGTTTTTTTTTTAAAAAAATACAAATCCTGAGTGTTATTCAATCCTCTATGGTACACATACCCTCACTTGCAACCAAAGCAAAGAACATCGGGAGCATCACTTTCTATACGCGCTTATATACGTCTGAAAAGCCAAACATCACAAAGTTGAACTCTTGAATACTTCATATTATTATCCAAAGTCATTGAAAACACTGAGAAATGAACACTGTTAAGGAAACAAAGCTTCTTGCACTTCCTACTCCAGCAATAACGCAACACCCAATTTTAATGAAGTAAATTTCTATTTACATTTACACACTCAGTCAGTTAATGCAGAGGCGTAACATAACTATACCGATAGAGAAAATCTTACTTAGAGCGTTGACCGTTGTAGGTTTTGTGTACTCCATCCGCAAAGAAGTACACAGTAGGAAAGCCCTGCACATCGAACTTCTGACTCAATTCCGCCTCTTCGGTAGCATCAATCTTCGCCAATGCCACCTCCTCGTATTTCAGCTCCTCCGCCGCCGCCGCATACTCCGGCGCCAAAGCCTGGCAATGTCCACACCACGGCGCGTAGAACTCCACCATCACGAACTTATTCTTCTCTATGAACTCACTGAAGTTGGATCCCTGCAGCACCACCACATGGCTCTCATCCACCTCCTGCGGACTGTATCCACCGTCGTCGTCCCCGTACGCTGAGAAGTCGTCATCCATCAGATCGTCATAGTTCTCGTAGTCGTGAGGCTCGTCGCCTCCCAACGATGCTGCGCCGGTGTGCTCCTCCTGTTCTAGGAAGCTGAGATCCTCATCCTCCTCAGATTTCGACGAACATACAAAGACATTTGAGAAAATAAAGCAGAGGAAAACCAAGAGAATCACCAACGACTTCATCTTCATCGCCGGAAAATCAACACTACTTCTCTTCAGAGATTCGAGCGGAAAAAAAAAAAACGTGACATGCGAGAGTGGAGGGAGTGCGAAATTCGTGTGACTCTGTTGAGACTTGAGAGAAGGTGAAAATGGCGGTGTAGGCGCTGCACGAAAAAACGAGGACACGTGGAGAATTACTATTGGTCCGAGCTAAAAATATAAACGAATAAGATTATGACGCGTGGTCAGAGTGAGTCAGAGCTCAGAGTTTGACTATTACTTGTTGGTTCAGTGCGGTCGGTGCAGTTTGGCAAAGGGAAAGTCGCTAGTTTTAAGTGACGCGACTTTATAGCAATCAACTGTCAAGTGAGTCAAGCCGGTTCAGCCATACCAAAAAAAATACGTAAAAAAATAAGTGGATGGGCTGCCGGACCTGGACCGGCCAATATGACAGCTCGGGCTTAGGCTGGTCCAAAGCCGTAATATGGAATGGGCCTTGTTCAAATTTATTTTAATAAATAAGAATTATGTATTGGACCGTCGTAGGCGACTCGGATTAAACAGAAATTGATCCATCATGGCAAAATAAACCGGTCCAATCCGATCATCTTTTGTATATTTTCGGCCCGACCTACATCGGTTCACTTTAAAGCCGATTCAATCCGGTGGGTATGTTTAAACCGGCCTGGTCAGATGGGCCAGTTCATATTGTGTCAAAGCATAACTAAACTATGATTTTATTTATTTTTTTATTTATGCGTACTCTTTCTGTCCAAAGACTTAAATTATCCATTTATTTTTTTATAATAAATTAAAAATTAATAATATTTTATTAATTAATAAAAATATGTAAGATATTTTTATGTTTGAAAGTATAAAATAAATACTTTTAACTTTTGAGTGAGATAAACAAAAATACATTATTTTTTATTTGTATTATTTTTCATCTAAAATATTAAATTCAAGTCTTTTTTTAAAAAAAAAACAAATAAACACAACTATTTTTTTTCAAAATATTTTAAATTTAAGTAACTATTAAATACTGAAACCGTCTACCCCAATATATATATATATTTTTTTTGTCTGACCATAAAACATATATATTCAATTTTATTTGGTAAGTGCATTAACAGTGCAATTAAGCTTAAATCTATAACTATTATTACATAAAATTAAATAAAATGATGAGAAAAAAATAAATAAATAAAACTTTACACACAAGGTACATCCACAGCCGACGTTTTAAATACGATTTTTTTTTGGAAAAAACTATGAGCGTGTTTCTTTAGGGGGGGTTTGGGAAAATTTGAGTTTGGGTTTGGTTTTTATTAGAATTTTGGAATGAGTTTGAATTTTGTTGTTTCTTTGTATTTGGGTTTGGTTTGGGTTTTAGGAGTTTTAACTTGTATTGATTTGATGGATAATGAATAAAATAATATAAATGTGTATTAAATTTAATTAATAAAATTTATATTGTATAATTTGATTATGAATTTATATTATATATATTTAAATTTTTATGTATTTGTATTATAGAAAATTTTATTCTGACATATATTTTTTTCCCTTATAATTATAATAAATATATGTTTCTTTACTCCAATTTTTCCAAATTTTACTATTTGGACTATACGTTTTTCGAAAAAAAAAATACTCTCTCCGTCCCAGATACCGTGTCTGCTACACTGTAGACACGGTATTTTATGAGGAGTATAATTAGTAGATAATTAAGAATGTATTAGTGAAATAATTTATCTTATAATATAAATAATTATAAATTAAGATTAAGATAACTAATTAGTTTAATTAATATTTAAAAATTAAAAAATGAGATTAAAGTATGTAATTATTTTCCAAAAAAGGAAAGTGACATGGTATGTGGGACGGACAGAAACGGCAACGTGGACATGGTATCTGGGACGGAGGGAGTACATCTTTTACTCTCACAAAACATTCCATCAAACATTATTTTAATACCAAACTCAAATTAAAATTTCTCAAACTCAATCAAAAGAAACACAAATTATATTTTAAATTTTCTAAAAATAAAAATAAATAAAGTCAAATCTGATGCAGTTTGGGTCGGCCAAATTGTAGACAACAGACCCATAATAATATAGTTGTATATTAATTTGTATAAATATATAAATTTTATATATACATATATATTGATAAATTTTTATTTATTTGTATTATAAAAATTTTTATTTTCTACAAAATGACATATATATTGTATATATTTTATTCAATTATAATTATTACTCCATCCGTCCCAACCTGCAACATTTTCTTTTTTAGTATGTCTCAAACACCCTGCAATATTTCTAAAATAGAAAATAATTAATTATATTTAATCTTTACTTCACACTTTATTCCCTTACATCATCCAAATAAAAAATTAAAATATATATTTCTCTCTCTATCACATCACCTGATTTCTAAATTATCCTACGAATACTACACACCTAAAAACTTGTATTAAAAACAAATATTGCACCTTATTTAGGACGAATGGGGTATAATTTTTTTACATTTATAATTTTAAAAATTTTATTATTTTATTAAAAAAAAAAAAAAAAAAGGTCCCCCAAAATACAAACAACCCAAGTTTGGGCATTTTCACGTGCAAACATATCCAAACTTTGGCTAAAGAAACAAGCCCTGTATGTAAATAAATACTCCATTCGTTCCAAAACTATAGTCTGGGTTGTGTTTGGCACGAAATTTAAGGAATATTGATATTATATTGGTAGTGGGTAAAAAAAACTTTTTTGCCCTTGTGAATGTATTAGTGTAAAAAATAGTGGCAATTGTGTACTAATAATGAAAAAATAAAGGTGATTTTATAGTGATATGGTTATTTATGAAAATAAGACTATTGTTTTGGGACAAATAAAAATGATAAATAAGACTATTGTATTATGACGGAAAGAGTATAATTTTTTAAGTAAGTGGAAGAATGGAGTATAACATTCAAAAAAGAAACTATATATATATGTTTAAATATTTTTTTTAAAAAAAAACTGCAACACTTGAAGTGACTGCTATTTTTTCAACATCAATATATAGGTCTTACGTAGGGACGGAACTATAAATATATTTTTTTAGTATTAAAAATATTAATATTTATGTATTTATATATAATTTATCTCACTAAAACTATCTAAATTTATATATAATTCTGTCATTATTATTTATTTAAATTTATTAACTAAATATTAAATAAATTATAATATTTTGTCTCGCCAAAATTCAGATACTAGTTTCGTCACTGGTCTTTTATATATATATATATATATATATGGTATTAAATAAATTATCAATAGGCAGTCACTATTTACAAGTCAACTATGAATTATGAAGCGAGTTTATTAAAAATTCAAATACATTCAAGATGTTCTCTTTGCATTAGAAATTTCACGACATCTACAATTTACTATAAATTATTATTTGAAGAATTTTGATAGACAAAATAAAATTTCCTCGGACTGAATCCTCCTTTAACTCAATTTGACATCTCTATACATTTTTTTACTTTTTGAAAAATCTTCTCACTAATACTCCCTCCGTCCCGTCCCATATAACATGAGCATATTACTGTAGACATGAGAATCTAGGTGAAGTATAATTAGTAAGTAATTAAGAATTGTATTAGTAAAAATAATTATATATTAAAATTAAGATAAGTAAATAGTTTAATTAAAATTAAAAAATTTATAAAATTTAAAATTTAAAATGCTATTAAAGTGCATAATTATATTTTCAAAAATAGAAAGAACAAGTTACGTGGGACGGACGAAAATAAAAAATAAAGATAAATTATGTGGGATGGAGCGAGTGAGTAACTAATAATGTGCTTGTTTCCATGATTTGTGGAGATACGCTCACTAGTGCATATCCGTTATTGGTGGCCACGTTACTCCCAGTAAAATATAGTAACGCTACTACTAGACTAGTATAGATGCAACCCATGCTTAAAAAATGACACAAAATATGTCGTTTTTAAATATTTTTTGGAACTACTTATGCCTTTGCTTCGTATTTTAAAATAATAATAATTTGAATTAAAATAACTATTTAGTATAATATAAATAAATATTTAATATAATATTTTAAATATAAATTATATTTAATTTAATATTAAACATGTATGTATATATATAATTCAATATTTTTATATAAATAGTTTTTAAATTTAATATTTTAAAAAATAACAATAACTATTGATAAATAGCACCTAAATAACTAGTGATAATATTTATGAATATATATTGTTACTTTTATTTTAATTATTGATTTAAAAATTTCTCTAAAAAATATTACAATAAATATATTTTTTATTTAAAATATTGCATTGATGAATATAATTATAATTATTTAAATAATATTTTGATATAATATTTTATATTTCTCCAATACTGTATTTTTATTAAAAATAGTATAGAATAAATAGTAAAATTATTTATTTACAATATAAAATAAATACACCATATGAAAATGGTGTATGCCATAGAGATGATTATGTTCTTTTGAATTTCGGTTTCAATTCTCTATAGATTTTTTAATATAAAATACTACTCCCTCCGTCCAGCTAGAAAGTATACATATTTCTATTTTGGGACGTCCAATTACAAAGTAAACATTTCATTAAATACCTTACTTTATTTCACAAATACTCTACTTTACGTCACATTATTATTTTTACACAAAAAAGTAAAGACAAAAATGTCATTACACTATTTTTAACTACCCACTATAATTAAAATACTGTTATTTCTTAAACTGCGCCAAAAATAATTATATACTTTATGAATGGACAAAGGAGTATTACATTTAAACGAAAGATAAAATCAAATAACTAACTCAAACTTTAACGTAACACATTATTAAAGTTTGTTTGATGGTGTTTTCAAACAACCAATTTCACTATTTAACTACTACAGTTATTTTTATCTTTTTCTAATAATATTACATCAAAGATATAAATTTTTATTTGTTTATATTACCTATAAAAAAAAAAACAATTATTTAAAATATCATATCATGCATGTTTATATATATATATTATATGAAATAATTATTTTAATTCAAATTTTTATTGTTGTAACCCAAACAAACACTTAATTCACTTTACAAAATTAAATTAATAATAGAGACATGATACATCCATATCAAACAGGGGCGGACACAGTAAGGGTTTGGGGGCCGTTTTTTTTTTTTTTTTTTTTTAATTCAAAGTTTTTACTCTTTTGTATCTTTTAATATATTATTTTAATTTATAATATAGGAGTATAAATAATAATTTTTATTATAAATACTTTATATAAAAAATATATTTTTTTATTCTAAATGTAATTTTTACCATATGTTTTCTTTTTCTATTTTTATTCTTTCCATTTATTTTTTTATTTATTTTCTTATAATTTTACTATATTGTTAAAAATAAATAAATAAATAAAGTTGCGTCAAATTAATGGTAGTAAAATAAGTTAAACTATTGGTTCAAATTAAATATCGAAAATTAACCGTTTAAAATATAAAATTGAAATTGAATAATAAAATATTAAAAATAACATATAATAATTTTGCCCCTCTAGGGGCTAGTTTCATCTATCTCAAATAGTTTACTATTCTTTTTTATCGGAATATCTTAAACCGTGGACTGGTATAATATAATATTCCATCTGTCCCATATAATTTGTTCTTTTTTTTTTTTTATCCGTCGACATAATTTGTTCTTTTTTTTTTGGAAAATTGATTATACACTTTAATTATATTTTAAATTTTAAAATCTAAATTTTTCTAAATTATTTTTACTAAATAATTATTATTTTTACTAATATATTTCTTAATTACTTATTAATTATACTTTACTTAAATTCTCGTATCAACAGTAATGCGCCCATTTTATCTAGGACGGAGGAAGTAATAGTAATTAATACGTGATTATTGTATTGTTTGTTTGTTTATTTATTCTTAAATCTTTTTCATCACCCTCATTTGAAAAAAAAAAATGAAAAATAAATATGGTTGTCCCATTCATAGTTTTTAATAAAATCAAAACAAGTTATTTCTTCTTAAAAAAACATTTATAAATTAATAAAAATCATTTCATTCAAAATCCTTTCACAATTTTCAATAACTAAAAAAAAAATAAAAGTAAAATAAAAAATCTAACCAAAATAAATGAACACAACCCATTAATTCCCACGAAGGTTAAACCCATGCACATGACTTTTACCACCTACTTCTCTCGTACAATAACATACCCTCAAACCCTAATAAAACAAATATATATTTATACATACGTACATATATATATAGATATAATTTCAGAAACTAGTTATTCCTATTAACCCCAAACGCGGCCTTAACGACATTGTAGAAATCATGGTCATACGCCTTCGACTTATGATGCTCGCTGGGAATTATCTTAGTGTAGAGATAGAAAGCGAAACAGGCTATCGCGGGCCCCACCCAAAATATCCAATGCCCATCCCATAAATGCCCTCCCCGTACGATCGCCGGCCCCAGGCACCTCGCCGGATTCAGCCCAGCTCCGGCGTACCCCTTCCGCGTCGTCACCGTCGTCGACACAAACACCAGCAGGCCCAGCACGGCGCCGACGATCGTAAAAACCAGCACGATCCCAAGCTGGCGCGCCTGCCGGTGATCGTAAGCCATCCAGATCGACGCGAAAAGAAAAATGAAGCTGCAAAAGATCTCCAGCCAGAGCGCCTGCGCCGTGGCCAGCCCCGTCGTCACGGCAGCGCCGCCCGGGCCAGGCGCCACCACCGTGACGGTGCAGCCTCCGAGGGAGAAGGCGCTCTCGATCTCCGAGCCGACCACGGCCTTCAGCGCCAGCGCGCCGAGGACCGCGCCGAGAGATTGAGCCGCGATGTAGATGGCGGCGCGTGACATTGAAATTATTCCGACCAGGGCGGCGGAGAAGGAGATTATAGGGTTTATGTGGCCGCCGGAGACCGGGTGCACCGCCAGGAGGAGGATCGTGATTATGACGGCGGCCAGGACGGAGAGTACGAGGTTGGGCATTTTGATGTCGGATTGGAGAGTGGAAATTACGATTGTGTCCAGCATGAACACCAGCACCGCCGTCCCCAGCAGCTCCCCCATCGACGCCCTCCACACCTAATTATAATTAAATTTATTGTAATAAATAATTAATTAATTAAATTGGAAATTAATTTTTTAAAAATTTGTTAATTAATTACGTCTAAGCAGAAGAGCTCGTCGAGGCCCAAAATTGCACCGAGAGAATTATTAGTTGAAACAGTCTTGTCGGGGTCCTTCATCCAATCTCGTGCAGACTGCCTGTTCGATCTCAAAATGTGTAAGTATAATTGAGTAGTGTATGTATAGGTTTCTACGTATTAGGGTATGTATATATATATATATATATAGATAGATACGTACGCAGGAGTAGAGGTGACGGGCTGAACTTTGATCCCATTGGTAAGAGATTCTTCGTCCATATCCGTAGCTTGCTGCAAATGCTTGTCTTTCTCTGCTGCAGCCATATATAGTTATGTCTATATATATATATCTATGTATGTAATAAGATTTTATATTGGCAATAAAATTGTTGATTTCCTACGGGCACATGGGGATACAGCATTTTTATAAGGAAGAGAGAGTAGTAAGGATATATATATATATATAATTAAAGGTGGCTGCGGATCTGTATTAATCCGGAAAAGTGAACTTAATGCTGATTTGACAGAATCAACATATGTTATATATATAGTATATGTTATATATATATAGTATATATTTATACATAATACAGCATATATTGAATTATAAATATATATTGATTAACTGTATAATATATATTAATTCGATCAAATTAACACCATACTGATTTAAATGAATAAGCTGTTGATCAATTGGTGATCCATACCTTAAAAGGGTTGAATATTATGGCCAATTTGTTAAAAATAATTAATTAAATAAAACCCTAAAAGATTGGAGATTGGAGAATGGAGATTGAGGAAGATATTAATAGGTGTCAAACATCATCCACGATCGACATCTCACTCCACCCCAACTATTTTTAGTCTTTTTTATTATTATTAGTATTTATTTATGTTTTTATTATTATTAGTATTTATTTATGCATTGGTTTGCGTTCCCTTTCATTTAATGTACCTATACTTAATTGTGTATTTTATTGGCATTTTTTTTTAAAAAAAAATGATAATTTAATTTTTTTCATTTTTTATACTAATATATATCTTTTCATGAAATATAATATTTGAATCAAAAAACTCAAAATTAAAATTCAAAAGAAAAGCACCAAAAGAACAAAATCTTGCTTCTTTCCTTTTTCTTTATTTTTTTTAATTTAAATTTTGCATGTTTTAATTGTATAGCAAAGAAGGGTTTGCTTGTTTTACGATTTGGTTTGGAAAAAAAATAAAATTATGTAATGTATAAAAAATTACATAGGTAATATTAAATTATTAATTTATATAATATTTTATTATTTTTTTTTTTTGAAAAAATATGTATGTCATTTTCACATAATAAACAAACCAGAAGTAATTTTCTTTTATTGAAAACAACAATGTGTTTCATTTATTTTTTTATTTTTTTTATAATTATCAATAAAAAATATTTTATTTATTCTCATAAATTATCATATTAAAATATTATTTAATCCTATAAAGAAATTGTTTGCATATATATATATATTATCATTGTGATTTTTCTTAAATAAAAAATATGTTTGAATGTGATATTTTTTATTGAACAAAGGACTCAGTGAATACATATTCGGACACTTTGGACAAGACAAGCCAACAATTTGAATCTTTGCTCCCGACTATTGAATTTACAATCATGTCTTAATCTTTATTCATTTTTCTTGCTATTTTGTACGATTTTCATTATAATTTTCATAGTCATTATTGAAGAATAATTAAGTTGATATATATATATATGATTGTATGAGATTTCAACCATTTCTATTGTTTGATTGTCTGCTTATTTAATTAATTTAAGTCACAATCATAGTCTTGACTTCTCCAATTTGTTATCTTTTATTCTACTTCTCTTATTGTTATTATTATTATTATTATTATTATTTTTTATTTTAAGAAATTTGTTTCGAACACATTCAATCCTAGAAGTATATAATATTCCACAGTGTTTTTTACTCATCAATCTTACTTCTTGAGCAAATTCAATAATTATAGATTTATTTACACAATTATTTTAGCTACAAACAAATTCGAGAAAAGAAATACATTTCTCAAAAAAAAAAAAAAAAAAAAAAAAGAAGCTTTATTGATAATTAATTGCACCTTATTATAACCAACAATAGTACTTCATGTGTGAATTGTTGATGCAATCCATTGACCTGTGTATTCAATTAATTCAATTCATATAATAATATCTAATTCATTAAAAATAAAATTCAAAAACCAAGAAAAATATATAGAAATAATTAGTAATAGATAATTTTATATATATATATATATATATGTATGTATGATTTTTGGAAGCCATCTTTATTGACCATGCACATATTTTTTGACATTTCCTTCTTCGTTTATCTAGAAATGTTCAGTTTCTATTCCAAAATTTCTAATATTATTATTAGTACGTAATATTATTATTAGAAACTTATTATATATACGAATCGATCATTTAATTTTCTGTCCATATTTCTTTAGCTGTCGTCATGCACATGCTGAGACAAAATTACTAATTGCAGATTCGATTTAGATATATTAATTAAGCAATCGATTATTTTATTTATTTCAATATATAATGCTTGCACCACAATTCTCCACGACCGGGCCTGTGTTTTCTTGTTTAATATACATATACATAAATATATACAGATTCTTACCCGTGCTTAAATTACTTAATTACATGTTATTTTAATAAAAATTCAAACTCAATCCAAATTAGGAAAAAAAAAAATAAAAATACACTTATTGTTTCTCCAAAAATATAATGTCTAATTTTTAATCATTACAAGAAAATATTATCTTTGTAACAAAATTTTTGTCCATAAATTTACTTTTTCCGTTACTAATGACATTAGGGACGAAATTTAAAATGTGATTATGTTAGTTGTGTGAACTTTAGGACAAAATTTTGTTACAAATATACTATTTTTATTTATTTATTTATTTATTTTGTAGTGAATACAAAATATTATATAATAATTAAGCAATCAACTGAAGATTTGGTCCAAATACCTATATGCTCCATCCCATTAGAGAAAAGCCTTTTGAGAATTTTGAAGTTTTGAAATTTTTAAAATTATTATTATTATTTAAAAACAGATAGTATATATATATATTTTTTTCTGTCTAAAAATGTATTATTTTTTAATTTAATAATTATACTACATAACTAATATAATAAATATTTTTACAATTTATAATATATTACACAAATGCTATTACTTTTATATTACATCATACTAATAGGGATATTTTTATTTTTTTTACTATAAACCAATATAATACAAGATGGATGTAGTATATAATAGTATGATGTTTGTATATTTTGAGATTTGATATTAAAAAAAAAAAAAAACAAAAAACAAAAATTGAATAGTATAAAAAATCTCTAAAATTATTATGTAAATATAGCAATGTTTTATGGAAAAAATAAAAGATACTTCCTCCGTCCCAAAAAAGTTGGCACGGAAATTAAAGAATAATAATATTTAATTGAAGTGAGTATAAAATAGAATGTAAATGACTAAAATACCCTTGCTTTTTGAAAAATTTTAAAGAGTATGTTAGAGTAATAATTATGGGTACTATGGAAAAGTATGAATAATTTTGTTATAAAGTGGGAACTACGGCTACTAAATAAGGAAACAAGACAATTGTTTTAGGACGGACGAAAATGAAAAAACAAGACAAATCTTTTGGGATAGAGGGAGTACTAGATATTTGATAGTATTATTATATTTTTTAGTATAATTATTATTAATAAATAATACTCTCTTCGTCTCAAAACAATAGTTTCATTTTACCAATTTTTTTCCTCTCAAAAAATAAGCTCGTTTCTATTTTTGATAACTAACTTTTTAACTTTTACAAAATTATCCCAACTTTTTTATAATAATTATATAAAATAAAAGTATTTTAAAATTCTAAAAATACTTTTACACATGCTATTAATATAATATTATTATTTCTTAATTTTCGTATTCATCTAAAATGTTCATGTTGTTTTGATACAAAAAAAATCATAAACAGAATGTATATAAACGTAACATAGCTCTATATATGTAAGATCATCTCCAAACCCACCCCCAAATCCCCCCATTTTTGCAGCTATACACAGTGTTATTCAAAAAATGGAGTAACATTGTTTACTCCACTCCATTTTTAGAGTGGAGTTTCTGTGGTGTTTTTTATATTTTTGGTATTTTTTTGGATGTATTGTGTAATTTTAATTTTTTAGTAGATGATATATAATTTTATATTTTAAAAAATTGTATGTAATTTTATTTTTTTTGAAAATAATGTATAATTTTATTTTTTAAAAGTGATATAATTTTAGTTTTTGGAAAGTAATATATAATTTTATTTTTAAAATTAATATATAATATTACGTTATCTTTATTTAATTATTATATCATATTTGTCTTCATAGCATTTAAATATTTATTTAAAATTATTTTTTTTGTAATTTTTAAATAAAATATAAATGATATGTGTATGGATCTAATTTAAAAATAAATGAAAGTTGGGGTATAATTTATAAATATTAAAAGTTATATAGAATAATATAAAAGAAAAATATATAGGGAATATACTTTTTAGAGTAAAAATTGAAGTTTATGATTGGAGTAAAATTACTTTAAATCAATTATATTTTTACTGTAGCAACTGCAAAAATAAAAGTGAGGGTCGGAGATGGCCTAACATAGCCCTCTCTCTATATATATATAATATATATATATTATATATTATATGATGAAACGTAGCAATCATGTTTAACAGTAATATAAAACTAATTTCTTCGGGATGGGCTCCATTAATTAAATCACAGCCTCTGATGTAGATAATTCTTGAAAATGGCTTACTTATTTAATAATATATATTATAAAATTTAGCTTATTAGTTATTGAAGCATTAATATATATTTATTACTCCATCCGTCGCAAAAATGAAACTTTTTTTTTTAAGTATGAAAATTTAGATAGTTTTCCATCCGTCATTTAAATTTATGCTCACTTTCTTTTTTGGGTTGTCATTGTCGTTATCTTTTTAAGTAAAAAATTATTACATTTTTGTATATTTTTTTACTATAAAAGATAAAAGTAGCAATTATAACTCACTTTTATTAAAACTCGTGTCCGATCAAATGAGCACACATTTGCACGACGGAGGGAGTATAAACTAGTTATTTAAATAGTGGAGATTACTTATTTAATATAAAAAATGTGTTTAAATATTTTTAACATTATATCTCAATAAAATATATAGAATATAGATATCATTATAGAGAATAAAAGTTTATATAATATAAATAAATAAAAAATATGTGTATCTATTTACTATTACTATAAATTAATTTTATAAAAAAAAAATGACATTTTAAAAGTAAATAATATTATTTATTAATTAAAAGGAGATAAAAAAATA